TGTGTGTGTGTGTGTGTGTTTATTTATTTTATTACATTTTCCCCCATTTATTTATTTGTTTATTTATTCATATTCTTATTCTTGTTTCAGTTATGATTATTTTATTATTTCAGATATTTTAATTTAATAAAGTTTTATTTATGTTCTTTTGATTTTATTAACTTTAACATTTTAGTTGTTTTATATTTTCTGGTTTTTTATGCATTCTATTATTAATGTTTCATTTTTTTATACTTACCTGATTGGAGTCGTTTTTATTATTAAATTTACCTAGATTATTTGATATGTTTTTACACATATTATCAATCCCTTTTTCCTGTATCAACTCAGCAACACTGTAAATGAGGGTCCCCCTCAATGTTCTCTGAGCTTAAATAAAGGTTGATTGATTGAATATAGTAAGTCATTAAAAACCAACAAAGAAAACATGACCATTTATATTAAAAACACTCTGAAAAGCCAGGTGTCCCCAAACTTCTGACTGGTAGGTTATTATTATTTGTGCAATATTACTCACACCTGCTGTGACAGAGTTGGCTTGTGTTCTTCAGATGTTGATGAGTGTGATGACCCGCTCCGCTGCCCTGGTCAGGAGTGTGTGAACTCTCAGGGTTCGTATAAGTGTGTCCCCTGCAGAACTGGCTTTGGCCTGCTCAACGGACAGTGCACAGGTAATGCTGCACCACTCAGGTTCACTCATTCAGTCCAGCTTTCATTCATTAATTCATTCAAACCCAGAAAATAGCGTTTGTTCAGCAGAGTTGATCACTGTAATGATCTTCTTACTGGAGAAAACAGTCCATCCTCTAGAACCCGTACAGAACGCAGCAGCACAGATCCTCACAGCACCAACACAGAGAGCTCATATCCCCCCGTTACACACTGCACTGACCGCCTGGATCTGTTAGAGAGAGTTTAAAGCTCTGCTGCTGGTTTTTAAAGCTCTAAATGACCTTAAAGCTCCTGAATGTCTGTTTATGATCTCAGATCTGCAGATTCTGACCTTCTGAACTCCTTCAGTAAAACACAGAAAACGTGGAGAGACTCTTTCAGTTATTCTGCTTCTAAACTGTGGAGCTCAGTTCAGCTTTTATTAGACAGTCGAGCTCAGAGCTCACTTTTAATAAACATCTGAAAACGCAGCTGTCGTGTGTGTAGTGAGCACGGCGGCTGGATATAGGTGTGAGCAGACTTTAATAAACAAAGCAAACTATCAAAAATACAAAGTACAAAGTAACAAACTACGAGGTCTAAACAAAACATGAGGTGGACATGCAAACACTACATGTCAAAGTGACAAGTAGACTAGACAACAATGGACTGAAACAAAGGGCTAAATATACCCACAAACAATAGGGAACACCTGGGAGAGGGAGGAGGCAGGGAATACAAACAGGTGAGGATCCTAATAGAGAAGGCGGGAAAAGGCCGGAGAACAAGAACCAAAACGAAACACAAGCACATGGCTACAACACAGGGGAAGAAACAGATGAAGACAGAGGAAACCGTGACAGTTAACTCAGCACTTCATTAAAACTGCTGCTGGAGTGTTTGAACACCTCAGTGTCGCTGCTGGACTGAGAATAGTCCACCAACCAAAAATATCCAGCCAACAGCGTCCTGTGGGCAGCGTCCTGTGACCACTGATGAAGGGCTAGAGGATGACCAACACAAACTGTTCAGCAGCAGATGAGCTATCGTCTCTGACTTTACATCTACAAGGTGGACCGACAAGGTAGGGTATCTAATAGAGTGGACAGTGAGTGGACACAGTGTTTAAAAACTCCAGCAGCACTGCTGTGTCTGATCCACTCGTACCAGCACAACACACACTAACACACCACCACCACATCAGTGTTACTGCAGTGCTGAGAATGATCCACCACCCAAATAGTACCTGCTCTGTGAGGGTCCATGGGGGTCCTGACCACTGAAGAACAGGGTAAAAGGGGGCTAACAAAGTATCAGAGAAACAGATGGACTACAGTCTGTAACTGTAGAACTACAAAGTGCACCTATATAGTAAGTGGAGCTGATAAAATGGACAATGAGCGTAGAAACGAGGAGGTGGTCAGAATGTTATGCCTGATCGGTGTGTGTATATATATATTGTGGTCTGGTTACACAAAGTTAGGTTAGTTCATCATTTATTCAGCACGTCTGCTTGTGTTCTCTCTCAGATATTGATGAGTGTCGTCAGAGTCCCTCGCTCTGCTCCAACGGACGCTGTGAGAACACAGCCGGCAGCTACAGGTGTGTGTGTCGTCTGGGATACAGGATGCAGGGCAACGCCTGCACAGGTGAGATGCTGCTGTGTCCTGATAGTGATGCTTTCTAAGGTGAAATAAGACTTTGTGACAGAAGTCTGTAAGATCTGTAAGATTTAAGCTGAATCGCATCGTCAGCATGACGTCACTGTGATACGCACTGAGTTACGAGGTCAGTCGTCATAGCGTCACCCATAAAACTGTCACAACAACAACGTTGACAAAAGCAGCCTTTATAACAGATCGGAATAAGCCTTTATAAATGTTTATGTAGGTTTAGGTCCGTTGTCTTGAAGGGCTTATGCAGCCTTATGAACAGTAAAGTGTTATCAAAAATTATGATGTACACTCTTAAAGTTCTTCGAGGGTTCTTTAGCACTCAAAGAACCCTCAAAGAATCGCACTGTTCTATTGTTACGATGTCTCACGTGACAATAGCAGAACCATTTTCAGAAAGGTGCTACATAGAACCATATACAACACATTCTCCATCAATCTGAGGAACCTTTAATCATGGAAAGGGTTCTTTGAGTGTTCATGGTACTATATAGACCCATTTTCTTTACTAAAGAACCCTTGAAGAACCATTTTTTTAAGTGTGTAGGAGTGTGAATCTCGAGGTGTCCAGAGATCCCCACCACTAACGTCTCCATCACTGTGTTCCTCAGTGGCTCCTTCACTGTATGTGTGTGTTTCAGATGTGAATGAGTGTGAGGACCCTCTGCAGTGTCCTGGTCAGGAGTGTGTGAACGCTCAGGGTTCCTACAGGTGTGTTTCCTGCAGACCTGGCTTTGCAGTGGTCAGCGGAAGATGCGCAGGTAATAAACTCAGGACATTCTAGTATTCAGAATGTTCTGCGTTCATTCATCAGGCTGACGCAGTTACAGGTTCATTCACCGTTCTGATTCAATATTGTACTAAATGGTCAATATTGTTCTAAAACACTGCATAATCTTAAACTTTCATTAGTGATTTTATAATAGTAGCTGCTTTTCTAACAGCCTGAAGGTCTTTACACACCAAGCACAATGTACAACCCCATTCCCAAAAAAGTTGGGATGCTGTGCAAAATGTAAATAAAAACATAATGCAATGATGTGCAAATCATTTAAACCCTATATTTCATTGAAAATAGTACAAAGACAACACATTAAATGTTGAAACTGAGAAATTTTATTGTTTTTTTGAAAAATATTTGCCCATTCTGAATTTGATGCCAGCAACATGTTCCAAAAAAGTTGGGACGGGGGCAACAAAAGGCTGGTAAAGTTGAATAACGCCAAAAAAAAACACCTGGTGTTTGACAACAGGTCAGTAACATGATTGGGTATAAAAGATCATCCCAGAGGGTACAGATGAGGAGGGGTTCACCACTCTGTGAAAGACTGCACGATCAAATAGTGCAACAATTCAAGAATAACGTTTCTCAACATAAAATAGCAAAGAACTTCTGCTTTTCATCATCTAGAGTACATAATATCTTGTGCACCAGACAGCGAAAATGGTACAGCATCATTTTATTCGTCCTCTGCTCAATTTCTACCAACTTTCGCAGATGAAATGTGCATGTCTGCAGATGCTTACGCATAAACATTTATGAAGTGTATAAACTGGGACTAATTCCACCAGGATCAGCGCTATGGAGAAATATTAATTTCTGTGGAAATGCAGTAAAATGAATAAAATGCAGATATTTTAGTGCAGTAACCTAAACACTCTGCTCTTCTGGAGTTCAACAAACACATCAGTATCAGTCTGAAATATCAACATAATCTAAACGTCTGTCTGATGTTATGTATTTATATATTTTATATATATTAGGCAAATATCTACTGATACTGACATGATTTTGATGTCATAGTGCATCCCTGCACTCTTAACATAGATGGAGCTTCAAGGGTTCTTTAGTAAAGAAAATGGTTCTTTGTAGAAACATGAATACTCAGTGAACCATTTGCAAACTTGAATTTGAAATGGTTCTTCAGATTGATGTAGAATGCGTTGCATATGGTTCTATGGTTCTAAATAGCACCGGAAAGGGGTTTTGGTTCCGGTTCTGATCTGTGTTGCTGCACTGATTCCTCTCTCAGATGTTGATGAGTGTCGTCAGGACCCTGCTCCTTGCGCTAACGGCCGCTGTGAAAACACTCTGGGCAGCTACAGGTGTGTGTGCAGAACTGGCTACAGGCTTCAGGGCAACACCTGTACAGGTAACAATCACCATCAGTCTCAGACAATCACAGCTACCATCTGATTCTCTCCTGTGTGCCTTTATGTGGCTGTTTGTTCCAATTTTTGTATATGTGTGCGTCTCAGATGTGAATGAGTGTGAGGACCCTCGGCTGTGTCCTGGTCAGGAGTGTGTAAACACACCTGGTTCATACAGGTGTGCGTCCTGCAGATCTGGATACACCTTACGGAATGGACAGTGCACAGGTAAACAGAGCCAGCACACAACATACATCTCCTCTCTAAATTTGCAACATACAGTGAGAAACTGTAGAACAGACTCAGTTTATATCACAATACCTACATTTAGAGTCGGTTATTCATTCAGCCTAATGAGAAACTGTAGAACAGACTCAGTTTATATCACAATACCTACATTTAGAGTCAGTTATTCATTCAGCCTAATGAGAAACTGTAGAACAGACTCAGTTTATATCACAATACCTACATTTAGAGTCAGTTATTCATTCAGCCTAATGAGAAACTGTAAGACAGACTCAAATCAGATTGGATTCGTGTGTCCAGACATCACCAGTCTATCTGCATGGGTTGACGTAGGCGTCAGTAACTACGTAGCTACGCTGGTGATGAGGATTTCTAACATGGATGCAGGAGTGATGGAGGAGCATCATCTCTCCCTCCAAACTCTTCAGAATTCTTTTCATAATCATGAATCTTTGGAGCTCTTCTTGAATCCCAGCACTTCATCACTCTGGATTTGACATCGTCGTTGTTTGTCGTGTTGCGAGTGACGTTGGAGACACTTTGAAATCCAATCTGAGCGGCCAGTGCGTCCAATCTGAGACACATCTGTACAAATCTGATTGGAGTCGCATTTTAAACCACCTTCAAGTGTTCGCAATTCAAAATTCAAAATGTCCAGACTATCAAAAATGAATCTGAATTAAATCTGGATATGGCAAAAAATTTGGCCTGGCAGCCTGAACATGGCCTTATAACCGTGAGTTCTATATAGATGGTTGATGTTCTATATAGAACCAAAAAAGATTCTGCTACAAGCTTGCAAACAAGCTTGGTTCTGTTGCCCTATTATAAGTAATGTGTGTGGAACATGTCCTCGCTGGTGTTGGTGATGGGCTGTTGTTTATGGTGTTAGATGTGGACGAGTGTGTTCAGAGCCCCTCTCTCTGCTCTAACGGCCGCTGTGAGAACACGCCAGGCAGCTACAGGTGTGTGTGCCGACCTGGATTCAGACTGGAGGGGAACACCTGCGCAGGTAAACACCACATGTCGTCATAGCTGTGGCATCAGCACTGTCACGTCCTATGCTAAGGCCTCTGTTATTATTGAAGCAATAGTACAGTAAAAAATCTAATTTAGTTTCCCCACAAAAAGAAAGCAATCAGCCAAGACACAAGGCTAACGTAGCTACCGAATAAAAGTGGACAAAGGTGTGGTCAAAATTCAAGATGGCTACTACTGTTTTTAGCTATTCGAAGTGCTTTTAGGTGGTCCAGCCTAGAAGAGGCATTTTTGCTCAATGGCTGACCGACTAACCGCTTTATTGAAACGCATATGCGTGAGGGGGACAGCTACTGTAATGCAGCGTAAGTTAGCCTGCCACACACCTTTCGTCCAATAGAAGAAGACTCGGGCGCTGGCTCTTAATGCTACACAGTAGAGGTCTGCAGTCCCACGGATTCCCGCTGGACCCGCCTGATATCTTGCAGCGCAGGACTCATTTTCAGTGTTGTGCGGGAAATCAGCCTCTGCAGGTGGGAGCGGGACAAAGCAAGCAAGCAAAGTTTATTTATATAGCGCTTTTTACAACAGGTGTTGTCACAAAGCAGCTTTACAGAAAAATCAGCATTGCAGAAAGAAAAAGAAAAATCCGGGTCCCCATGAGCCCAACAAAAGCACATATGAAGAAAAATCCTGCAAATTCATGAACAGCCTAAACAAAGTAGAACAATCAGTAAATCATTTACATAAACAATATAAAATGATAACAGTAAAACAGTTCAAATGAATTAAGTCATTCTAAAGAGCTGCAAAGCAGCCGATCACATGAACAACACGCAGATTCTCATAGCTCGGAGCTATCAGTCTGACGGCCACAGCTGCCCAGCAAAACACCAAAAATACCGCTCTGTAGTTTAATCCCTGCTCTGTGTTTACTGGGAATAAGTGGTGTTTGAAGTTACTCACAGTGAGCCTGATAACATGACTGCTGTGTTATTTTAGCACTGAAAATTAGTCCCGTGACACAAGATACTGTCCCGCAGGTCCAGAGGGAATCCTACGAAGTGCAGACCCCTATATTGCTGCACTTAAATTGGCTTAACTGTAAAAATACACTCACTGCTACAGGCTTTATAATAGTAATACTGAACCTACAAGTGTGGGGTTTGAAGTGAGTCGTGCACTGAAACCTGTGTCCCCCTCGGTTTTATCATCATTTACCATAATTTCCATATGACAAAGCATGCGGCCTGGTGGGCCAGCAAAACTAGACCTGTCTAGTCTTCATCTATAAACAAAGCAAACTTCAGACACGACGTCTCGGCTGACTGATTACATCTGGGGCAACTTGTGTACGTCTGATTTTTTACCAAGCTGTGGCTTTAAAGTGTGTTTTGTAAATGAAACAACACTGAGACTCTTTTCTCTCCTGTGTTTAGATGTGGATGAGTGTGAGAACGAGCTTCAGTGTCCGGGCCAGGCGTGTGTGAACTCGGTCGGCTCTTTCAACTGCGTGTCCTGCAAGCCGGGCTTTGAATTTGTGAACGGCCAGTGCAAAGGTGACAACGTGATTGAGTTACCACTCACCTCTGTTCTTTTACTGGTGGTAAAAGTCACCATTAGAGCCCTTTAATCCTGGTCGAGTCACATGTCTTGAGGATCAGGGGCCATATTACAGAAACCGTCTATATTTTTGTCTTAAGATCTGACCAGATAAGATTTTTCACAAATTCATATTACAGAAGCAAATCTGATCTTAATTCAGGACTCTTATCTTACAGCGTCTTATCTCCAGTTAGGAAATCGTAACCTACTCGATCAAAGTCGACAATCAACTGTCATGTCTGTAACCTAGCAACCGACCATAAACACACACAGCTGAAACATAAACAGGCAATCAAAATAATCAAGTTAGTTAGTCAGACAGCTACTATTACTGATGCCGAAAGGTCAAACTAAACTAAAGAGTGATAAACTGTAAGTTGTGAATACTGTGAGAGCGCCCCCTGCTGTTTATCAGTGTCGCCACTCCCCAGTTTCAGTCTCCATTTCCCAAACGCTTTAGCCGAGCGCGCTAACGTTACTCCTCCTAATAAACAGACACACGTTCAGCTCCATCTCCTCATTATTCACCACCATCACTGTAATATTTCATCATCAACATTAACACACGAAGGTGATCAGAGGGGCGGTGGAGATCGAGTCTGCAGCGTCTGAGATCTTTAAAACGCAGAGTTAGAAAAGAAAATCATCTCACAGTGAAAGCAGCGTTTTACAGTAGAAATAAATGGAGCTCATTATGCTGGTAGTGAACTATGCTGCTGACACAGCTGCCTAAAAACCATAGAAACGGACCTTAAACAGAAGTGAGGACCCTGTTGGGGTTCATCCTAAAGTTAGGACAGGATTTAGGAGGTTTAGTCTAGTTAGGATGTTTGTGTGATGCTGTTTTCTTATCTGGAGTTCATGATGAGATTATGAAGGTAGGAACTGTTATTCTGGAATAGCTACTGTCAAAATTCAGTCCGTACTGAAATAGTCGTGGAGACTAAACAGATCAGATTTCAGAGTCAGGATGTTTCTGTAATACAGCCTCTGGATTTTACCTGGATTGGGATTATTCACATTAAACTTGACATGATAGTATCGTGAATCGTAGATTGATTTCAAGTCAGGGGATTTAAATGTCAGAAAACGTGCTGTCTGTTCTAAAGGAATATATAAAGAACCATTTATCTTGTAATCTTTGATTTCTTTTTGCGGGTTTTCTTTTAATGTGTACTCCATGTTTTTTTCCATCTAAATACGTTGTCTGGCTTCAGAACATTCTGTAGCAGCACAGCTGCCGTTTGTTTTCAGTTTTTTTAGAGTCATGCTTTTTAAACAGATAAAGTCTTCCATGTATGCGAGACAACAGTTATATCAAAGTTAACAAAAACACAGCTTATTATTATTATATCATATTATATCTTCTTTTATATAACAGTTAGTTCCGGCCATGCAAGCTATTTCACCATAACATCACGTGTTTTTCACAAACACTGTATCACTCCGCTGAGACGCTGTTGCTAAGTGACGACTTTGCCAGCTGTAGGAGACGCTCAAGCCATCTGAACGATTTTACTTTTTACTTTGGCACAAACAGAAAATGGACACTTTTAAGATCACATTTGACCGACAGTTCATCCCAGCCAGTGTTAATTATGAAGGACTGTAACTCGTCTGTGTCGCGTCTGTCTCACGACGCGACTAACCTCAGTCCTCGGTTTCAGCCTAGAATGCAAATAAATAAATTCCTCTTACGCCAGAACGTTTGGTCAGTCTGTCAATCTCACGCCAAACAAACGTTGAAAGGTAACACTTTACTGTAGGGTGCTGTTCATAAGGCTACATGACACCTACATAACGTTGTCATTACAACTGACATAACCCTACATAACTGTTAATAAATGCTTATTACAACAGGCATCATCTATCATAAAGACTTTGATCAAAATTGGCAAATGTAAACTTTATAGCGAATGACGCTTATTGGAACAAGCATTTATAAACAGTTATGTAGGGTTATGTCAGTTGTCATGACAAGCATATGTAGGTATCATGTTGCCTTATGAACAGCACCCTACAGTAAAGTGTTACCCCTTGAAAGTTTGCAGCCTCCTGTGATAAAACTTTGTAATGTTTCTCTACCTTGTAAGTCGCCACGGTTCTTTCTCTTCTGACGTTCTTTTTGAATTGAATTCAATTCAGAACCATTAGCCAACTGTGTTTTGCACACAGAGGAATTAGTCCTCAGCATTTAACCCATCCGTGCAATGAAACACCCACATACATTCACACTAGTTAACACACACACTAGGGGGCAGTAAGCGGTGGGCAGCCCTATCCCCAGTGCCCGGGCAGCAGTTGGGGGTTAGGTGCTCAAGGGCACTTCAGTCACGTACTGTCAGCTCAGGGGATCGAACCAGTGACCTTCCGGTCACAAGGCTTGTTCCCTAACCTCCAGCCCACGACTTTCTTTGCCGGTGTTGTGCCGAATACCGACTCCCTCATCACACGGTGTGTCTGTGTTTTCAGACGTGGACGAGTGCAGTCAGACTCCTCCTCGCTGCGCTAACGGCCGTTGTGAAAACACTCCCGGCAGCTACAGGTGCGTCTGTCGACCAGGATTTAGGCTGCAGGGGAACACCTGCACAGGTGAGAACAGCTTTAAATAAATGACTGTCAATAAACAAGGTAATCACTATTACATCAGTTACATTGAGGGGCTGGTCAATATAAACCATTTACAACTGAAAATTCTGATAAAAGTCTAAATTGGTTATAGCTAATGTTTATTTTTATTATTCATTCTCTTTATTTTGCTTTTTGTGTTACATTATCATCAAAGGTTTGCCAGTTTAGCCCAGGGGTGTCAGGCTCAACCACTAAAAGGGCCATATTAAAAAATCTTAGCGAATCTGTGGCCCAGCTGTGTTTTTATTTAATTTTTAATTAACATTTTGCCACGACCCCAACTGGCCACTGTTTATTCAAAATATGCCAAAACAGCAGCATCAAAATAGGCACTGAATACTTGGAACGATTCAAAAATAATTTTAAACAAAAAAATTTGTTTTAGGTAGGTTTTTTTTTAAACGGCCTATTTGCTTAAACTAGACACCGGGAACCGTACTACAGAAACTTCTTAGGTCTGAGATCTGCTTTGCTGTCATGGTAACTTCAGTTAAGACTGAAGTTAGAACAGAAGTCATTACAGAGCAACAGTTCTTAAGTTTATAATCTCATCATATTTCCAGATAAGAAAACGGTTTTACAGAAACATCCTAAGTTTCCAAAACATCCTAAATATTTTCTTAACTTTAAGATAAACTCCAGAGCGTCTTAACGTCTGTTTAACCGTCTGTTTCTATTGGTTTATGCAGTGATGGGCAGCACAGTTCACTATAACCAGCATGATGACGCCACATTTATCTACACTGAAAACGGAGCTTTGAGTTGCGAGTTTTTTTTCCTTTCTAACAGTGTTTAAAGATCTCAGACGCTGCAGACTCGATCTCCACCGCCCCTCTGATCACCTTCGTGTGTTAATGTTGATGATGAAATATTACAGTGATGGTGGTGAATAATGAGGAGACGGAGCTGAACGTGTGTCTGTTTATTAGGAGGAGTAACGTTAGCGCGCTCGGCTAAAGCTTTTGGGAAATGGAGACTGAAACTGGGGAGCGGCGATGCTCAAACAGCAGGGGGCGCTCTCATAGTATTCACAACTTAGAGTTTATCACTCTTTAGTTTTATTTGGCTGTCTGACTAACTTGATTACTTGTTTACGTTTCAGCTGTGCGTGTATGGTTGGTTGCTATGGTTGTCGACTTCAATTGATTTCCTATCTTGAGATAAGAAAAGATGCTGTAAAATAAGATAAGATTCTTAAATTAAGGTCAGATTTGATTCTGTAATATGAATTTGTGAAAATCTTATCTTGACCTGTCAGATCTTAAGTTAAGACAAAAAGATAAGGATTTTCTGTAATGCGGCCCCAGGATCTTTTCTTTGTGTAACCGCTGACCCATAGATTGTTGTTGGAGGTCAGAACACACACTATGTTGCAGTGCATGCTGGGGACTGTAGTGAATCTCAGGGTGAAATGGGGTAATAAGAGTAGAAACGTATTAAAATAATTTTCCAGGTCTTTATAATAGAACTGTGTGGGCCTTGTGTTTGACACCTGGGGTCTAGCCTGTATGACTGTACACCTTATTTAGAACCATGAGTTCTATATAGAACCATTTGCATGCTTAAATGGTTCCTTGCATGGTGAAATAGTTCTTCAGATTGATGGAGAATGTGTTATGTATAGTTTTTTATGGAGCCTTTTTGAAATTGGTTCTGTATAGCACCAAAAAGGGTTCTGCTGTTGTTACTATGCCAAGCTTGTATTAATAGCAGAACCCTTTTTGCTGCTATATAGAACCATATATAACACATTCTCCATCAATCTGAAGAACGATTTCCCCATGCAAAGAACCATTTAGGCATGCAAATGGTTCTATATACACATTTAAAAATAATGGTTATTCAAGGGTTCTTAGTAAAGAAAATGGCTCTATAGAGAACCATAAATGCTCAAAGAACCCTTTGCATGAGGGTTTTTTACATAGTGAAAGGGTTCTTCAGATTGATGGAGATTATGTTATGAATAGTTCTGTATAGAACCTTTTTAAAAATGGTTCTATGTAGCACGAAAAAAGGGTTCTGCTATTGTTACAATATTAACCTTGTATCAATAGAAGAACCCTTTTTGGTGCTGTACAACACATTCTCCATCAATGTGAAGAACCATTTCACTATGCAAAGAACCATTTAAGCATGCGAATGTCCTATGTGGGAATTATGGTTCTAAATAGAACTTGTTTCCTTTATTAAAGAACCCCTGAAGAACCATCTTTTTAAGAGCGCGTTTGAACCCTTTCCTCTTTTCGTGCAGACGTTGATGAGTGTTTGGGCAGTCTGCAGTGTCCCGGTCAGCAGTGCGTGAACTCGATGGGTTCTTATGAGTGTGTGCGCTGCAGAGACGGATACAGTCTGCAGAACGGACAGTGCGCAGGTATCCACACCTACACCTCGGAACAAACGTACATTAGCATACGCTCTTAAAAAGATGGTTCTTCAAGGGTTCTTTAGTAAAAAAAAAGGTTCTACGTAGAACCATGAACACTCAAACAACCCTTTGCTTGCTTAAATGGTTCTTTGCATGGTGAAATGGTTCTTCAGATTATTGGAGAATGTGATATACATGGTTCTGTCTATAACTTTTTTAGGAAAGGGTTCTTCTATTGTATAGAGGCTTTACTTCATAACAATAGCAGAACCCTTTTGGTGCTATATAGAACCCTAACAGTGGCTCTACATAGAACTATGAGGGCTCAAAGAATCATTGTGTACTCAGAGGGTTCTTTACATGATGAAATGGTTCTTCAGATTGATGGAGAATGTGTTGTACATGGTTCTATATAGAACCTCTTTAAGAAAGTGTTCTTCTATTGTATACAAGCTTGACAGTGTAACAATAGCAAAACCCTTTTGGTGCTGTATGGAATCCTGACAGTGGCTTTACATAGAACCATGAGCACTCAAAGAACCATTGCGTACTCAGAGGGATCTCTGCATGGTGAAATGGTTCTAGATCGAGTGTCCAGTTCTGCAGGGCTGAGGTGGCGACTCTACACGCTGAACCGTGCTGAATTAAAGCCATAAGACGAGACGCCGTACATTACTGTGATTTCACCGCGGGGTGTCGGTGTTCTAAGACACAACGCAAAGCAGCGTTCCTTTTACAGTGCGGTATCGTTGCCAAGCAACTGCCGAATGAGGAGAGGAGCGTGCGGCCGCCTGTCACTCTACGGTCATTTAATGAACTGTTTAATTGTTTGTCGTATAACGATGAACATGTGACAAAGGTCAAAAACCCTCACTTTATAAGACCTTTATAAGCTCACCAATTTCCACCGTCAGTCTAATTTAGCGCCGAGCTAACGGCCCTCATTACTCACAGAGTCGAGGCAGGTCACCATCCCTCCATCCTTTACTCTCTCTCTCTCTTTTCTCTTTTCCTCTTTCTCTCTTTCTCGCCACTCTCTCTCCTTCCTTTCTTTTTCTCTCCCTCCTTTCTTTTCCTCTCCTCTCTCGTCCTCCTTCCTTTTTTCCCTCTCCTTCCTTTTTCTCTCTGCTCTCTCCCTCCTTCCTTTTTTCCCTCTCTCCTTTCTCTCTCTCTTCTTCCATTCTCTTTCTCTCCGCTCTCTCTCCTTCTTCTTTTTTCTCTCTCTCTTTCTCTCCACTCTCTCTCCTTTCTTTCTTTTTCTCTCTCTCTTTCTCCCTCCTTCCTTCTTCTCTCTCCTTTCTTTTTCTCCCCACTGTCACTGTCTTTGTCTCTTTCTCGTTCTTTTTCTTTCTATTTTCTCTCACTCTTTTCTTTTCGCTCTCCTTCATTTTTTTCTCTCCCTCCTTTCTTTTTCTCTCTGCTCTCTCCATCCTTCCTTCTTTCCACTCTCTCTCCTTCTTCTTTTGTCTCTCTCTTACTCTTCACTCTCTCTTTCCTTTCTTTTTCTCTCCACTTTCTCCCTCCTTCCTTTTTCTTTCTCATTCTTTTTCTTTCTACTTTCTCTTCCTCTTTTCTTTTCTCTCTCCTTCCATTAGTTTTCTCTCCACTCTCTCTCCTTCCTGTCTTTTTCTCTCCCTCCTTTCTTTTCCTCTCCTCTCTCGTCCTCCTTTCTTTTTCCCCCTCCTTCCTTTTTCTCTCTGCTCAATCCCTCCTTCCTTTTTTCCCTCTCTGCTTTCTTTTTCTCTCTTTTCTTCCATTCTCTTTCTCTCCACTCTCTCTCCTTCTTCTTTTATCTGTCTCTTTACTCTCCACTCTCTCTTTCCTTTCTTTTTCTCTCCTCTCTCTCCCTCCTTCCTTTTTCTCTATCCTTCCTTTTTCTCCCCACTGTCACTGTCTTTGTCTCTTTCTCATTCTTTTTCTTTCTACTTTCTTTCCCATTTCTTTTCTCTCTCCTTCCATTCATTTTCTCTCCACTCTCTCCTTCCTTCCTTTCTCTCTCCCTCCTTTCTTTTTCTCTCCGCTCTCTCCCTCCTTTCTTTTTCTCTCTCCCTCCTTTCCTTTCCTCTCTCCATCTCTCTCCATTCTTTTTATCTTTCTCTTTTTTGTCTTTCCAATCTCTCCTTTCTTTTCTTTCTCCATTCTTTTCCCCTCCACTCTCTCTCCCACCTTCCCTTTTCTCTCCTTCACTCTCTCTCTTGTTTTCTGCTCTACTCTCCCTCTGTTCCTCTTTCTCTCCTCCTGTCTGTCCAGCTGCAGTGTGGTGGTCAGCAGGTCAGCAGATGCTGTGATCAGATTCGACTGTCAGACAGATATTTGGCTGCAGTTAGTTTCTTTCTCCTGAGGTCAGAAAACTTCGGCACATCTGTTTTTTAAAGCGTCCTTCTGCTGGACAGTGTTTCAGAATGACCTGATTCGTAATAGCCCTGAGAGAACTGACCACAGTTAACCCTTATAATAAGCCGTGGAATCGAACCCAGACCCTTCTCGCTGTGAGGGGACAGTGCTGGTGACAGAGTTAGTCAAACCTAACATTTCAATTTGATGATATAGTTTAATAGATAATTACATTACGGTTATAGATTAACTGGTTTTGACTGATGGGTTAATCCTCAGTGTGAATGTGGTCATCCTGCTAGCTCAGGTCCTCACTCAGCAGCAGGAGGAGCGTGAGCTTGCCCTTAAGCCAGGCAGACACTGTGCAATTTTAGAAATCTTGTTCTTTGGTGACTCACACTGTACGTTTGAATCACCCATCATTTACGAACATAGTTTGCGATTTATATACTCTCACTGTACGAAAACACTCGGTCTGACTGACCCGACGCGACATCGGTGCTCATACTGCACGTGAAACGCAGCCCCTACAGACGATCTGTCTGCAATAAAGCTGTTTCATTCAAAACAACACGCTGTGCCTCCAAGTCCTGATCAAAACACTCAGTCTCAGACGGCTCCCTGCTCCCTACATAGTGCACCACATATTACAACAGTGGCTCCTGCACCATAAAGTGCACCACATGTATAATAAATAGCCTTCTGAGATTCAGCCATGTGTGTACAGCTCCATACTGGACTAACAGGGCACTATTTTGGTGTAGAAGGCAGATTCAGCCACTGACAAACCGCTACAACAGCTTTGCTAACTTGTGCCACACTGTGGATTTAAGCTAAAGAGCAGGCGGCTCTACAAAGACAAAAACACTGTATTTATTTATACTCCGCAATTCAACTCAGTCAGACGGAGTTAAGTCGTCATACATGGATGCTGGTGCCACGAGTGTGGGCTTCATTGTCTCCGTGTTGGAGCGGTGGGTGTGACTGTGTGGTTTTGTGTGTGACCTTGTGAAATTGGTTTGTGAGACAAGCGACCAAAATTTCTGACGTCAGAAATCCATCCGATCGTCCGACTGCTCAATCAGAGCTCGTTAGGGCAGTTAATCGAGCATCGTTTTTCCTCTCACACTGCACAGCCAGTGATGGCCGATGAAGCTGAAATTCGGCCCAGTCATGAAATTCAGTCGGCACCAAGCAAATCGGGCTTAAAACCGGGCTAAAATCACACAGTCTGTAGCCAACCGCGAGGCCAGGCGGCTAACTGAAACACAAAGAAAAGCACATAAGGGAAGGCTGGGTGGAATGAAGTGAGTAAAACAAGGGAAAGAAACCCAGCATGCAAACAGATAGAGCCAGTTTTATCCAATTAGACTGTGTTAACCAAACAAACAGGTCACTGTATTTCATTTAAACAGCAGCTCACTTAGTTTCCCTCAGTTCCACACATTTGTGGAGAGAGAGAAACGATTAAAACCAACAGCAGGTCAGTTTCAGCTTTTGAATGTGGTGTTTTCAAAGCTGCCAACTCAAAAATGCCATTTGAACATATGAAATCATCAAAAACGTTCCCTTAACTTTAAAAAATTTAGTAATATGTGGGTTTTATGTGCCGTTTTATGTACAGCACACTTCATTTATGTGGGTTAAAACAGAACGTGGGATTACAGGCTGTTCTGATCCTTTTTCCAAGATAGAGCAGTAACTCTTCTGGTCAATAATACACCAATTTCTAAAAAGATCTAGTCTCCTTCTCATGTTAGGATTAGTTGGATATAAACCAGGTGTGAGAAGCTTTGGGTCAGGAGGTTTTTGTATGGACAATATGTCTTGAATACACTCTCTCACAAGTGCACTGCTGAAGGATTTGTTTACCATTTTCCTTTTGATACATACGTCACTGCTGTTTTTCAAACAACCTTTAAGTTCACTGAGAGACCCTCATTTACAGCGTAGCCGAGCCAATACAGAAAACAGGGCCTGAAAGAATCGGTTGTGAAAAATATATCAAATGCTAAAAAAGTAATAATAATCATAGTAAATTTAGTAGTAAAAAAAATTAAAAATCAATAAATCTTTAAAATTGCAACAATATAATAATTAAATAAATATTGTCAAATAAGGATAAAATACGTAAAATTAAAAAGTAATAATCATAATGGTAAATTTGATCGTTAAAAATTTCAATAGAAAATCAATAAACCATTGAATTGCAACAATGTAATAACTTAATAAATGACATCAAATAAGGCTAAAATAAAAAATAATAATAAATTAGTTAATAAAATAAAGGAATATAAGATGTAAAGCAATAATGTGGCAGTAGCTAAGAAGTAAAGGTTGATAAAAAATACATTTAATGATTGATTTAAAAAAATCAATAAACCATCAAATTGCAACAATGTAATAACAATAAATAACATCAAAAAATGATAAAATAAAAAAAGATAGTTAATAACAATAGCAATAACGTGATAAATGAATAAATAATAAATGAATAATATAAAAGTTTAATAATCTTTATAATAGTAAATTTAAAAGTAAAAAATAAAAAAATCAATAAACCATTAAATTGCAACTACATAATAACTTAATAAATAACAGGTTAAGTAAGACTAAATAATAAAACATAATTAATAAAATAAAGGAATATAAGATGTAAAGCAATAACGTGGCAGTAGCTAAGAAGTAAAAGTTGATAGTAAAATAAATAAAAAGAATAATAAAAGTATAACAGTATCTAAAACATATCAAACTCATATTAAAAGTGAACTAAAATCAAATAAACAGTGTCGGGCTGAGTGGAGTGATTACAGACTGAGAGTTTAAATGTTCGTGTGACCCAGCGAGTGAAGCTTTAGAGTTTCCTGTAATAAAGATTTTCCCCGTTCAGTAAAAGCTCTCAGCACCTGAAGGGTGATCGAGTCTGATAAACTGCATTATTTACACTGAGCGTTTCTGTGATGTACGATGGCAAACGGCCGTTTTATAGATAAAAAGCCAATTAATTAAGCTTTTCTGGGATCATAAACATTCGCAGCCTTAGAGGGTTAAAGATAAACTCCGTCAGAATGAACAGCTGGTTGTGGTTCTCCTCTCTCCTTTCAGTCTGAATGAGTGTGAACACATCAGTGCTGAGTGCGTTAATAACCTGCCGTTCTTCCTCTTCTGTTCAGACGTGGACGAGTGTGTGAACTCCCGGATGTGTGGACCTCAGAGCGTGTGTGTGAACACCGATGGCTCGTACAGGTGTGAGTGTACGGCCGGCTATCGCGCAGCAGGACCTGGACGGCTGTGCAGAGGTCAGCATCATGGAATTAAAGGGATTTATGAGGGTCCACCTATCGCTACCTTCACACAGCAGGGAAAAGTGGCCCAAATCTGATTTTCTTACCAAATCCGATTTTTTGGTTGGGCTGTTCACAATATCTTTTACAATCCCCTTTTCCAGAAAAGTCGGGACGCTGTGAAAAATGTAAATAAAAACAAAATGCAATGATGTGCAAATCATTTAAACCCTACATTTAATTGAAAATAGTACAAAGACAACAAATCAAATGTTGAAACTGAGAAATGTTATTGTTTATTGAAATTATGTGCTCGTTTTGATTTTGAGGCCAACAACACGTTCCAAAAAAGTTGGGACGGGGGAACAAAAGACTGGTAAAGTTGTGTAATGCTAAAAAAACACCTGGTGGTTAATTGGCAACAGGTCAGTAACATGATTGGGTATAAAAAAGCATCTCAGAGAGGCGGAGTCTTTCAGAAGTAAATCTGAGGAGGGTTCACTACTCTGTGAAAGACTGCATGATCAAATAGTGCAACAACTCAAGAAAAACGTTTCTCAACATAAAATAGCAAAGAACTTCTGCTTTTCATCATCTACGGTACATAATATCATTAAAAGACTCAGAGAATCTGGAGAAATCTCTGTATGTAAGGGTCAAGGCCAAAAACCAGTATCTGCTGGCCGTGATCTTTGGGCCCTCAGGCAGCTCTGCATTAAAAACAGACATGATTCTGTAGTGGAAATCACTGCATGGGCTCAGAAACACTTCTGAAAACCACTGTCTGTGAAAACCATATATAAACAGGACCCAGAAACGCCCCCAACTTCTCTGGGCCTGAGCTCATTTAAAATGGACTGAGGGGAAGTGGAAAAGTGTCCTGTGGTCCGACGAATCAACATTTGAAATTCTTTGTGGAAATCATGGTCACTGTGTCCTCTGGGCTAAAGACCACTCAGCTTGTTATCAGTGCACAGTTCAAAAGCCAGTGTTCATGATGGTGTAGGGGGCATTAGTGCACATGGCATGGGTGACGTGCACATCTGTGAAGGCACCATTAATGCTGAACGATATATACAGGTTTTAGCAACATATGCTGCCATCCAGATGACGTCTTTTTCAGAGAAGGCCTTGATTATTGCAGCAAGACAATGTAAAACCACATTCTGCATGTATCACAGCAGCATTGCGCCGTATTAAAAGAGTCCGGGTGCTAAACTGACCTGCCTGCAGTCCAGACCTGTCACCACTTAAAACATTTGCCACATTATGAAATGAAAAATACGACAAAGGAGACCCTGAACTGATGAGCAGCTGAAATCCTGTATCAAACAAGAGCAGGAAAACATTTCACTTTCTAAACTACAGCAGTGTCTCCTCAGTTCCCAAACACTTACAGAGTGATGTTAAAGAAGAGGTGATGAAACTCAGTGGTAAACAGGCCCCCGTCCCAACTTTTTTGGAACGTGTTGTTGGCATGAAATTCAAAATGGGCAAATATTTTTCAAAAAAACAATTTCTCAGTTTCAACATTTGATTTGTTGTCTTTGTACTATTTTCGTTTAAAAATATGGTTCACATGATTTGCACATCATTGCATCCAATTTATAATTTACATTGGGGTAATATACAATGGGGTTGTGTGTGTGTGTGTGTGTGTATATATATTTGGATTAGAGGGGCTGATAAATTATATATATATAAATGAAGCCCCCCAGCATTGGGCTGTGGAGCAGTGGAACTGTGTTCTCTGGAGTGATGGAGCTCCATCCAGTACCTTTGGGATGAGTTTGTGATCCAGAACTGACCATCCAACATCAGTACCTGACCTCACTAATGCTCAATCAAATCCTCACAGCAATGTTTCAAGATCTAGAAGCCTTCCCAGAAGAGTAGAGGCTGTTACTGCAGCACAGACTCACTATTAACACCTTCACTTCAGAGGAAACTCTGGAGGAGCAGTTGTGCACAGTTATGTGGTCCATCTGTTGCTACACAATTTATCAGCCCCTCTAATCCATTTATCATCTCTCCATTACTGACCACAGCACCACTGTTGTCCAGATGCATCAACAGATGTGCTACAGTTTCCAAGAAGGTCGAGCTACAAGAGGGGCCTTTATTTTTTTTATTTACTGCTTTTCTTATATTTGAAACAAAAAAGAAGAGAAAAAAAGGAAAGAAGAAAAAAGAATAAAATAAAATGATAAAGTAAAAGTTACATTGTAACTGGCCTCGTAAATAACTGACAAATAACTATACAAATAAAATATAGTGTGCAATATGTATATTTGGTCAGCGTAAGAGTTTGTACAATAGAGCTTTTGTACAATCAGCTTTATTAAATATAGTATAATTTTTAGAGTACATGGAAAAGACTAAGAGCACTAAGATCCACAAAGGGATCACAAATTTTTTATAAAGGTTTTAGTTTTATTTTTTATTTGTATGTTAATTGTTGGCAGTATTTCATTTAGTGTTTGATTGGTCAAATGGAGGAGGTCGTTCTTTGTTCCAATGAAGCAAAATACACGTTGTTTCTGATAAAGTGGCCGGGAATGTGAGAGCATCTGTGTTTTGTCTGTGTTCACAGACATTAACGAGTGTTTGGAGGGAGATTTCTGCTTCCCTAGAGGAGAATGCCTGAACACGGAGGGCTCATACATGTGTGTGTGCGCTCAGGGCTACCAGACCAGCGCCAACAGGACGTCCTGCCAGGGTACAGCTGATAAAACCCTAGATGTTTATTTGTATTGTCATAGTATGTTTGTGTGTGACCAGTTATACAGCCACTTTATTAAGACCTCCTCTGTCCATTTTATCAGCTCCACTGACCATATAGTCTCACTCTGTAGTTCTACAGTTACAGACTGTAGTCCATCTGTTTCTCCGCATACTTTGTTACCCTGTTCTTCAGTGGTCAGGACCCCCAAGACCCTCACAGAGCAGGTATTATTTGGGTGATAGGTCATTCTCAGCACTGCAGTAACACTGACGTGGTGTGTTAGTGTTAGTGTGTTGCGCTGGTCTGAGTGGATCAGACACAGCAGTGCTGCTGGAGTTTTTGGACACCTCAGTGTCGCTGCTGGACTGAGAACCAAGAACATCCAGCCGACAGTGTCCTGTGGGCAGCGTCCTGTGACCACTGATGAAGGACTAGAGGATGACCAACACAAACTGTGCAGCTGCAGATGAGCTATCGTCTCTGACTTTACATCTACAAGGTGGACCGACAAGGTAGGAGTGTCTAATAGAGTGGACAGTGAGTGGACACAGTGTTTAAAAACTCCAGCAGCACTGCTGTGTCTGATCCACTCGTACCAGCGCAACACACACTAACACACCACCACCACGTCAGTGTTACTGGAGTGCTAAGAATGACCCACCACCCAAATAGTACCTGCTCTGTGAGGGTCCTGACCACTGAAGAACAGGGTAATAATGCTTATTTTTAATAATAAATCGTTTTAAGATGTGTTCCTCTGCGTCCCTGTGGTTAATTAATTATGCCTTCATTACTGCTTACAGACACTTTAGTATTAAAACGAGTCGAAATGCACATCCCTGCTCGATACTGTCAGTCTGACGGGTGTAGTATGTTATTTAAGGCTGTACTCAGTGATGTCACTGCTGTGTGTGTGTTCTCGTGCTCAGATGTGGACGAGTGTGCCCGTGAGGGTGTGTGTCAGGACGGGCGCTGTGTCAACACTGACGGATCGTTCCTGTGCAACTGTGAGACTGGATTCACTGCCAACCCCGAAAAAACAGCCTGTCTGGGTAAAACACACACACACACACACACACACACACACACACACACACACACACACACACACACACACAGTTTGTCTTACATTCTTACATTACTCATGAGGACTTCTGATGATTTCTATTGATTTTGTATTACTGTAGACAAGTAATACTACACGTACACCTAAACCTAACCCTGACCTCAGTATCAAACCTAAACCTAACCCTGACCTCAGGATCAAACCTAAACCTAAGGCCCGAAACATCCTTCATGCAAGGACACGAGTGCAGATGGTTCGAGCTACACAGACGGGGTTTCGTGCGTAGCTGGGTTCAAAAATGTGTCATAATGCATTTCATAATGCAGTGCGAGCTGCAATCTGAGTGTTACAGCAGAGGGCGCTATAACGACAGCCAGGCCTGACCAAGCAGTCTGTATGTTTCTCAACTGCCACAGCAGACAAGCAGCTGAGTCTCACGCGAAGATGACTTACATAATCATTTGCATTCGCATGAAGTGTGTTTCGCGCCTAACCTTAACCTCACTAACCACACACACACACGCACACACACACACACACACACACACACACTCTTAAAGAACATAAAGAACCTGCACACACTACACTCAATTCATTTGAAGTTTGTCATTATACATGTACACGAGCGCACAGTATAATTAAGTGCTTTCAGACAATTCCCAGTTACAGTTGGAGGCAAAAGTTTAGGCACCCCCGGTCAAATAATTTTTTTTTATTTTTTATTTTTAAAGTGAAAAGAAGTTCTGCAGCAAAACAATTTAGACAATTTTCTGCAAATGTTAATAGACAGTTACCTTGTAATTCACTAACTTAAAAAATAGCAGCTGTAATAAGCAAAAAACGTTCCCACCCTCCCAGTTTAAAAGTCTCTGAACTACATTAACTCATCAGGCCTTAACTGACTCGCTAGGACGGGTTAGGCAGGTCCAGAAGAGTCATTAAGAATTGTCCAAGGTCAGGGTTTGGGACAGACACCTCCCAATAGAAAGTACCTTATAATTGATGAGTGTATATATATTTAGCTTATTACTGTCTCTATTAATGTCTTGGGTTTAAATAGATCAAAACCTAATCATTGTAAATGTCTAAGGTCTGAATACTTTACTGTTTTTAATAGTTTGTACTGATTCAATTAGAATGGTGCTGTGTGTGTGTGTGTGTGTGTGTGTGTGTGTGTGTGTGTGTGTTAGATGTGGATGAGTGTGTGGACTCTGAAGGTGCTGTGTGTGGATCTCTGCGCTGTGAGAACACCATCGGCTCCTTCCGCTGCCTCGTCTCCTGCCCGCCTGGATACAGCTTCACTGCTACAGGAGAGTGTGTGGGTGAGCTAACCTGAACCCCCCCCCCGCCCCCTATATGTATAATTAATATATATATATTTCAGATTTTGACATAATTTGAAAATGCCTGTTGCCCGACTGATCAAAGAAGAAAATAATAGTGAAAAAATAAATAAATGAATAATCTCTGACATATCGAGTAACACAAACAAACCAGTACTATATGATATATAATAATATAATACCAGCTGTAAAAATACAATAATGCTGCTGAAAAAAGAAACAGACATGCACTCTCAGCCTGACGAGCTACACTAAACGTATATTAACGTTGCCATACTGATAATAAGGTAATTAAATATGGAAACTTTCACAGTAAAACCACATCAAGATAAACATGACTGTCGGGTTTATTCGCAAAAAAACAAACAGGCTACTGAAACTCATGAGCGCCATGCTGAAGACGATCAGAACCGGTTATCGAAAACTGTAATATTGATTAAAATAGAACCCATTAGGGATTCTGGGAGGTTGTGACAGCGTACAGTCAACATGGTACCGAATACTTTTGCTGTCTCATCATCGTCACAACCTCCTAGAAAGTTGTCAGACGACGTTCTTAACTTTCTGAGGAATTACATTTCAATGTTGTGACAGTGTAGAGAGCACCAAGCAGACGACGCTGTGGGCACCGAAACAGTACAGTGTCACAGCGTAGCTGTGTTTGCAGGACTGTTAGGAATAAAACCTGATGGTTTTGCTTCCTAACGGGAATCGGCTTGATGGTTGCCGTTAGAGGCCATTAGGAAACGATCAAATGTATCTGGAATCAGAAGACCTGATTAAACGATCAGAATCCTTTACACTGTGATATGAACCCATCAGGAAAACACAGAACACCATCAGCGACTACTGGACACCACCAGGAACCAACAGACACTAATTGCCAGCAAGATGCACTTTCCAGCACAATTTAAATTACATTCAGAGTCATCAATCAAAAGAAAAGTATAAACTGTGTTTGGAACGGTTTTATTGAGAATGTCTGATAATGTAAAAGAAACTTTAGTCCAAAACTTACGCACATTTAAACACTCCCACTACATCTCGCTGCTGTCGGAACAAAACCTTGTATCTCCAAAATGGTAACTTTACAGGAGAAGGAATAAACTACTTTACTTTAAATGTAACTCAGTGGAACCAGAATTTTTTCCAAGTCATTTTGGGCCGTTTTTTTTTTGGTATGGGGTTTTCTTCCTACAACAGCGATATGTAAAAATGTAGCGTTCACTTATTTAATATGTTCTGTCTCACCCTCTCTCTGTCAGACATTAATGAATGTGCTAACGAGACGGTGTGCGGAGAACACGCTTTCTGTCAGAACCTCATCGGGACGTATCAGTGTATCTGTGATCAGGGCTACGAGTCGACTGGAGACGGTCGATCCTGCGTGGGTACGTCACACATAAACATATACAGACGTATACAGAAGCTTGCACAACATTTAAGGTGTATTAATAAGCTTCTCTCTCTCTCTCTCTCTCTCTCTCTCTCTCTCTCTGTGCAGACATTAACGAGTGTGAGACGATGGTGGGGGTGTGTGGAGCGGCGCGCTGTTGGAATGTAGACGGCTCCTTCACATGTGAATGTGAAGATCAACAGCAGGAATTCAACCCCCTCACTCTGCAGTGTGTGAGCAGAGCCGGTCGAGGTAACACACACTGACACACACACACTAATACACACACACACAGCAGCGTTTACAGGTAACACACACTGACACACACACACTATACACACACACACAGCAGCGTTTACAGGTACACACACTGACACACACACACTAATACACACAGCAGCGTTTACAGGTAACACACACTGACACACACACACTAATACACACAGCAGCGTTTACAGGTAACACACACTGACACACACACACTAATACACACACACACAGCAGCGTTTACAGGTAACACACACTGACACACACACACTAATACACACAGCAGCGTTTACAGGTAACACACACTGACACACACACACTAATACACACACACACAGCAGCGTTTACAGGTAACACACACTGACACACACACACTAATACACACAGCAGCGTTTACAGGTAACACACACTGACACACACACACTAATACACACACACAGCAGCATTTACAGGTAACACACACTGACACACACACACTAATACACACACACAGCAGCGTTTACAGGTAACACACACTGACACACACGCACTAATACACACACACACAGCAGCATTTACAGGTAACACACACTGACACACACACACTAATACACACACACAGCAGCGTTTACATGTAACACACACTGACACACACGCACTAATACACACACACACAGCAGCGTTTACAGGTAACACACACTGACACACACACACTAATACACACACACAGCAGCGTTTACAGGTAACACACACTGACACACACACACTAATACACACACAGCAGCGTTTACAGGTAACACACACTAATACACACACACAGCAGCGTTTACAGGTAACACACACTGACACACACACACTAATACACACACACACAGCAGCATTTACAGGTAACACACACTGACACACACACACTAATACACACAGCAGCGTTTACAGGTAACACACACTGACACACACACACTAATACACACAGCAGCGTTTACAGGTAACACGCACTGACACACACACACTAATACACACACACACAGCAGCATTTACAGGTAACACACACTGACACACACACACTAATACACACACACAGCAGCATTTACAGGTAACACACACTGACACACACACACTAATACACACACACACAGCAGCGTTTACATGTAACACACACTGACACACACACACTAATACACACACACAGCAGCGTTTACAGGTAACACACACTGACACACACACACTAATACACACACACAGCAGCGTTTACATGTAACACACACTGACACACACACACTAATACACACACACAGCAGCGTTTACATGTAACACACACTGACACACACACACTAATACACACACACACAGCAGCGTTTACAGGTAACACACACTGACACACACACACTAATACACACACACACAGCAGCGTTTACAGGTAACACACACTGACACACACACACTAATACACACACACACAGCAGCATTTACAGGTGACACACACTGACACACACACACTAATACACACACACACAGCAGCATTTACAGGTGACACACACTGACACACACACACTAATACACACACACACAGCAGCATTTACAGGTAACACACACTGACACACACACACTAATACACACACACACAGCAGCATTTACAGGTAACACACACTGACACACACACACTAATACACACACACACAGCAGCATTTACAGGTGACACACACTGACACACACACACTAATACACACACACACAGCAGCATTTACAGGTGACACACACACACTAATACACACACACACAGCAGCATTTACAGGTAACACACACTGACACACACACACTAATACACACACACACACAGCAGCATTTACAGGTAACACACACTGACACACACACACTAATACACACACACAGCAGCGTTTACAGGTAACACACACTGACACACACGCACTAATACACACACACAGCAGCGTTTACAGGTAACACACACTGACACACACGCACTAATACACACACACACACACACAGCAGCATTTACAGGTAACACACACACGCTAATACACACACACAGCAGTATTTACAGGTAACTCACACTAACACACACACACACTAATACACACAGCAGCGTTTACTCACATTTAATAAACACACAGAGGCTAATTTAGCCATTTTCCCCAGACCATGAGTGTGAAGTTGCCCTCTTTGCTGGTGGGGTGTAAATGAGCAGGCCAGGTCAGTAAGAGCTCACTGCTGATTGGTCAGTTCAGAGTAATGATGAAGCGCGACTGATGTGTGATGTTTATTCCTATTTGTGGGTTTTTGTTCAAAAAGGTTGTTAACTAAATAAAATCTCAGGATTTCTGGCTTTGTTAGATCACATTCTTCACACCCGACAGCAGCACCGGGTGGTCCTGTGATTAACGGAGAAAAGCAGATTAAACAGCAGAAATTGACCCTTTTTCCTCTGCTTTATTGATGGGGCCCAGCAGTAAAGACCCTCTGGTCCCCCTGGGCTTTAGTTATGGTGCCCTTCCTCACAAAGTCTGCAAACAACACTTTTGCCCGATCTTAATATCCAGACTCGGCCCCCTGGCCTCTGTCTCACAGACTTCGGACCTACATTCTGTGATGGTCACTGAAACCCTGACCCCTACGTTTACTATTTGTCTGTCTGTCTATCTGTCTGTCTATCTGTATTTATCTGTCTGTCTGTGTATCTATCTGTCTGTCTATCTATCTATCTGTGTATTTATCTGTCTGTCTGTCTATATATCTATCTGTCTGTCTGTCTATCTGTCTGTCTGTCTATTTGTACTTATCTGTCTGTCTGTGTATCTATCTGTCTATCTATCTATCTGTATTTATATGTCTGTCTGTGTGTCTACCTGTCTGGCTGTCTGTCTGTCTGTCTATCTATCTGTGTATCTATCTGTCTATCTGTCTATCTTTCTGTCTATCTGTCTATCTATCTGTCTTTCTGTCTGTCTGTCTGTCTATCTGTCTGTCTATCCTAAATAATTAGACAAAATCACCCTCTGATAATGGTACAGAATTTAAAACACTCTTTTCTGTGTAATGAAACTGTCTGTAAAACAGCGGTTTGTCTGTGTGCAGGTGAGACAGGTGCTTCAGCGCCGCGGTGGTCCTTAACCCCCTCTCGCTCTGGCTCTGTCACCTCACTGCCCCCTGCTGGCCCAGGAGAGAAGAGGGAGTGCTACTACAACATCGAGCAGCAGGACTCCTGCAGGATCCTCACGCGGAACTCCAGCCTGCAGGAGTGCTGCTGCACCGTGGGTCAGGGCTGGGGTCAGCTCTGCCTCTACCAGCGCTGCCCTGAACTCAGCACAGGTCAGAGCACACACCTGCACACGTACAGCACCAGGCAAACGTCTGGACACACCTGACCGAATGTATGATTTTCATAATCTTACAGAGATTCTGATCTGAAGGATGACAGGTTTGAGATTTGTTAATATAAATAATGCAGGTAGTTCTAATGTTGGGTTTATTTCCAATATAAACATTGAAAATGTGATAAATTACAATACTTTTTGTTTGTTTCTTTGGTGCCAAGCACAGTTTGATTCTCCCAGTGTGGTACTAGATATCATAGAACAGCGCTTTTATTGTGGTTGGTTTTTTATAAAACAGCTTCAGAAGTTCTTCCACTCACTGTCCACTCTATTAGACACTCCTACCTTGTCAGTCCACCTTGTAGATGTAAAGTCAGAGACGATAGCTCATCTGCTGCTGCACAGTCTGTGTTGGTCATCCTCTAGTTCTTCATCAGTGGTCACAGGACACTGCCCACAGGACGCTGTTGGCTGGATATTTTTAGTTGGTGGACTATTCTCAGTCCAGCAGTGACACTGAGGTGTTTAAAAACTCCAGCAGCACTGCTGTGTCTGATCCACTCAGACCAGCGCAACACACACTAACACACCACCACCACATCAGTGTTACTGCAGTGCTGAGAATGATCCACCTCCCAAATAGTACCTGCTCTGTGAGGGTCCATGGGGGTCCTGACCACTAAAGAACAGGGTAAAAGGGGAGAATATAAGGATAGAATAGAATGGGGCACTCTGGAGCTGCAGCACATGAGCCTAAGGTCACCATGTCCAATGCCAACATCAGTACCTGACCTCACTAATGCTCAATCAAATCCTCACAGCAATGTTCCAACATCCAGTGTAAAGCATTCCCAGAAGAGTAGAGGCTGTTACTGCAGCACAGACTCACTATTAACACCTTCACTTCAGAGGAAACTCTGGAGGAGCAGTTGTGCACAGTTGTCTGGTCCATCTGTTGCTGCACAGTTTATCAGCCCCTCTAATCCATTTATCATCGTTCCATTACTGACCACAGGACACAACAGTCATTTCCAGGCATATAAACATTTATTTATTTGTTTTGTTTGTTTACATGTTTAAATTAGTAACAAATAACATCAAAAGTACTGTGAGTTTACATCTTACAGGAGAAAAAGAAATAAATCTCTAATCCAGAGTTTCAGCTTTTATATATACACTTACATGCAGCAATAGGTGTCTATTGAACCAGGTTAATCTTAGTCATCCAAATAGGAAAACAAAGGATTCACATTTTATCAAACTGCTCCAACTGTTCATTGTTTAAAAATCACGGTTTCTCCAAATGTAATATATTGATTAGTTCTATATCCACATTTCATATCACTGCTGTCAGAACAATCTCCATTTTTGTCATTTTTCACTTTTTGACATATTTTGAAAATGCCTGTTGATCTTTACATTGTGTATAAATTTCATGATGAATGGACCAAACGAAACGGCCCAAAATTATTTGGAAAAATGTCTGGTTCCATTGACTTACATTAAAGTTACCGTTTTGGAGATACAAAGTTTGGTCCCAACATCAGTGATACTGTTGGTACTGACTCTAGTTTGCACATTTGTAGTATATTTTTTATTGCAACAACCATACTAAAAAGAAATGGTCTGCTGTTCATGTTTCTCCAGGGTTACTGAGTCATAGTTGTTCCCAAAACAGCCCAAAGTGGATTTGGTTTCCAGTCCCTTCTAAATGCTTCTGACAGGCAATTAAATATACTGGCCCAAAATGTCTGTCAGTTGCTACATGTCCATAATGAATGTCTCAGTGTACTTTCCATTGCATTACATCTGTTACATAAAGGGGAAATATGTGGAAAAACCTTCATTTTGCAGAGATATATTCTATGCAGAGTTTTAAACTGAACTAAATTATCGCTGCTGTCGGATCAAAACCTTGTATCTCCAAAATGATAAGTTTGCAGGAGAAGGAAAAAACTTACTTTACTTTTAATGTAAGTCAATGGAACCAGACATTTTTCCAAGTAATTTTGGTCCATTTCTTTTGGTCCATTCATCATAAAATCTACACACAATATAAAGGGGAACAGGTATTATAATTATATTCAAATTATGCAAAAAACTGAAAAACAACAAAATGGAGATGCGAGGTTTTGCTTCGTCAGCAGCGATATGTCTTATATTTATTAAGCAATTATGTATATTTTTCAGACAGATTTCCCAGACATCATTTTCTGTTTCCACTCCTAACTCTTATTATGTCTTTTAACCTGATTATTATTTATTTATGTAATCTCAGCGGAATTCCAGACTCTGTGTCCAAGTGGACGGGGGTACGTGACTTCCACAGTGGGAGCCTTCAGCTACAAGGGTAAAACACACACCAGTTTGTCTTATATTGCTAGTGAGGACTTCCATTGATTTCTGTTGATTTTTGTATTACTGTAGCCAGTAATATTACACCTACCCCTAAACCTAACCCTGACCTTAACCTCAGCATCAAACCTAAACCTAACCCTGACCTTAACCTCAGCATCAAACCTAACCCTGACCTTAACCTCAGCATCAAACCTAACCCTGACCTTAACCTCAGCATCAAACCTAAACCTAACCCTGACCTTAACCTCAGCATCAACTAATCCCGACCTACCTCAGCATCAACCTAAACAACAGACAAAAACACAGCAATCAACAACAGACAACACAAGCACAACCTAACCCTAATCTTAACCTCAGCATCAAACCTAAACCTATCCTTAACCTCAGTATCCAAACCTAAACCTAACCCTAACCTTAACCTTAGTATCGAACCTTAACCTAACCCTAATCTTAACCTCAGCATCAAACCTTAACCTAACCCTAATCTTAACCTCAGCATCAAACCTAAACCTAACCTTAACCTCAGTATCAAACCTAAACCTAACACTGACATTAACCTCAGCATCAAACCGAAACCTAACACTGACATTAACCTCAGTATCAAACCTAAACCTAACACTGACATTAACCTCAGTATCAAACCTAAACCTAACACTGACATTAACCTCAGTATCAAACCTTAACCTAACCCTAATCTTAACCTCAGCATCAAACCTTAACCTCAGCATCAAACCTTAACCTAACCCTAATCTTAACCTCAGCATCAAACCTAAACCTAACCTTAACCTCAGCATCAAACCTAAACCTAACACTGACATTAACCTCAGTATCAAACCTAAACCTAACACTGACATTAACCTCAGCATCAAACCTTAACCTAACCCTAATCTTAACCTCAGCATCAAACCTAAACATAACCTTAACCTCAGTATCAAACCTAAACCTAACACTGACATTAACCTCAGTATCAAACCTAAACCTAACACTGACATTAACCTCAGCATCAAACCTAAACCTAACCCTAACATTAACCTCAGCATCAAACCTAAACCTAACACTGACATTAACCTCAGCATCAAACCTAACCCTGACCTTAACCTCAGCCTCAAACCTAAACCTAACCCTGACCTTAACCTCAGCCTCAAACCTAACCCTAACCTTAACCTCAGCATCAAACCTAAACCTAACCCTGACCTTAACCTCAGCCTCAAACCTAACCCTAACCTTAACCTCAGCATCAAACCTAAACCTAACACTGACATTAACCTCAGCATCAAACCTAAACCTAACACTGACATTAACCTCAGTATCAAACCTAAACCTAACCCTGACCTTAACCTCAGCATCAAACCTAAACCTAACACTGACATTAACCTCAGTATTCAGAAGGCAATATTTCTGCTCTTTTAATTTTTCCCAGAAAAATAATTTGTGGTGAAAACACATGTTTAAGTGAGAACCAGCAAAACATCCTCACTTGAGCAAAAATGTCACGTTGTCTATCATTGTGAGGACATGTGGTCCTCACTAGGACAGCAAGACGAACACACACACACACACACACACACACACACACACACACACACACACAGAGAGAGAGTATTTACACTGTAAACATGGTCTCACCCCTCTAACACAGAGCCGTGTTTCCTGCAGTAGTTGCTGTTGTTTGTTTTTGCTCGTGTGTTTCTGATCTCTGTATTGTGGCATCACCGTAGATGTGGACGAGTGTAAGCTCTTCGACCCGGAGGTCTGTAAGGGCGGCGTGTGTGTAAACAACATCCCTGGATACTCCTGTTACTGCCCCAGCGGATACTACTACGACAACGTCTTACTGGAGTGCATCGGTCAGAGTCCAGCTGCCTTTTAGTCTGTTTCTCATGTGAACTCAGAGGGAGGTGGAGCGACTGTGGAGAGTTGTGTAGCTCCCAGTAGTGACTGAAATTAAAGTTGTAATATTTAAAGCTTCTTTAAGGGCTTTGCATGGTGAAAAGCTTCTTCAGATTGATGGAGAACATGTTGTATATGGTTCTATATAGAACATTTTTGAAAATAGGCCTATATAACACCAGAAAAGGTTCTTCTATTGTGACGATGTCAAGCTTGTAACAATAGAAGGAACTTTTTGGTGCTATATTAAAGCAAAAAGCCACGAGAGGCCGTGCGTTACAGTGATTTTATCACGGGGAAGGGTGTTGTTAGGCACGACGCGAAGCGGAGTAAAACCTCCCTCCTTGAGGGAGTGGGATGAAAATTATAATAGCATCAAAACTGTGAGCCTCTCAGTCTTTAATGGGTTTATATTGAGGTTCCTGTCTTTAGTTGTGTTGTAGATACACATGAGCATCAGTGTCATTCTACAAAAACGTCCACTTTTCTGTCTCTCCATAGAAGTCACTGGTGTTACTGATCCTCATTGGTGTTCCACATAATAAAGGAAACACCAGAGACATTTTTAATGAATAATGCATTTTACAGAATGGCTGCTACAGAGCATCAAACCACATGTTGTCAATCATGGAATATCCACTAAAATATGGAATTTAATCCATTTGTATTCTGTTTTTCCACAATGACCTCAGAATAAGTCGGTCACACCAGTGACTTCAGCTAAAAGCTTCATATGAAATCATGAGCTAAATGAGAAAATCTCTGATAACTGAAAGACACAGTGGACTCACCATGAGCTTTTCTTCATAGATCCTCAGAAAACAGGTAAAAGGAAGTCGAGTGATGTCATCAGTGTGACATCAGAGACATGACTCCTGGGGAACTTTCATTATATATTTTATAATATTTATTTGCCGTTTGTTTTCTTTGTCATTTAATTCATATATTTCATAGTCATGTATAGATTATTGCAGTTAAATTGCAGAAAAACATGTTTTTTACTTCATACTTATGATTGATTTAAAAACTAATATTGCTAAATTGAGGCTCAAGAAGGTGTGATTGTTAAAATAATTTATTGTTTTATTTTAAAATATAAATAAATTGTAACCCTTACATGTTTTTCAAGTGTAATATATCTGTAAATGCTAGGGACACAATAATGGACATTTCTGTAGAATGACCCATAATAATTTCGGCCAATCTGAGCACAATGTGTGACTTTATAGGGAAAACTCAGGAGGAGACTCGTCAGAACTACCTCTTTAATCTCTCTCTCTCTCTCTTTCTCTCTGCAGATAATGATGAGTGTGACAGTGAGGAGATGTGTCCCAGCGGGCTGTGTATCAACACAATGGGTTCATATTACTGCACTTGTGAGGCCCCGCTAGTGCTGGACGACACACAGCGCAACTGTGTGAACATCTCTGGCCTCACAGTTGGTAAGACGCACATCTAGTTCTGGCGGAGTCATCACTCGCATTTGTCTGTTTCCAAGATCAGCTCATTTCTGCTTTGTCAGCATTTTGAATATTAGAACAGTCATGAAAGTGTAAAACATCTAACAAAACATATATCTCATATTTAAGAAACATGATGTCTGAAATCTGCTCCCCACCAGAGGGCAGTACAGGGTCTGCATCTTACATTTTGAGTCAGTGGACTGAGTCAGCTGGAGTTTATTATCTCTTTAGTCCAAAGAAGGAAGCATAGAAAGGCTACTGCAGCCGTATAAACACCACTACACTCTGGATGAGAAGCTTCGCGTCATGCAGGTGATAGCAGACATACACTATACACCGGTCAGGCATAACATTATGACCACCTCCTTGTTTCTACGCTCATTGTCCATTTTATCAGCTCCACTTACTATATAGGTGCACTTTGTAGTTCTACAGTTACAGACTGTAGTCCATCTGTTTCTCTGATACTTTGTTAGCCCCCTTTTACCCTGTTCTTCAGTGGTCAGGACCTCCATGGACCCTCACAGGTACTATTTGGGTGGTGGGTCATTCTCAGCACTGCAGTAACACTGATGTGGTGGTGGTGTGTTAGTGTGTGTTGCGCTGGTCTGAGTGGATCAGACACAGCAGTGCTGCTGGAGTTTGTAAACAGTGTCCACTCACTGTCCACTCTATTAGACACTCCTACCTTGTCAGTCCACCTTGTAGATGTAAAGTCAGAGACGATAGCTCATCTGCTGCTGCACAGTTTGTGTTGGTCATCCTCTAGTCCTTCATCAGTGGTCACAGGACGCTGCCCACAGGACGCTGTTGGCTGGATATTTTTGGTTGGTGGACTATTCTCAGTCCAGCAGTGACACTGAGGTGTTTAAAAACTCCAGCAGCACTGCTCTGTCTGATCCACGCAGACCAGCACAACACACACTAACACACCACCACCACGTCAGTGTTACTGCAGTGCTGAGAATGATCCACCACCCAAACAGTACCTGCTCTGTGAGGGTCCATGGGGGTCCTGACCACTGAAGAACAGGGTAAAAGGGGGCTAACAAAGTATCAGAGAAACAGATGGACTACAGTCTGTAACTGTAGAACTACAAAGTGACCCTATATAGTAAGTGGAGCTGATAAAATGGACAATGAGCTTAGAAACAAGGTGGTGGTCATAATGTTATGCCTGACCGGTGTGTGTCCAAAAGTATTCAGACGTCCTTCTAATTACTGAATTCAGCTACTTTAAGGTGCACCCGTTGCTGACACAGGCATTCCAGATGCACACACAGCTTGTATAATCGGCATAGAAAAGCACTTACCAGTAGAATGGGACACTCTGGAGCAGCTGCACATGATCCTAAGGTCACCATGGTCAATGCCCAGCGTGGGCTAGAGGGGTATAAAGCCCCCCAGCATTGGGCTGTAGAGCAGTGGAACTGTGTTCTCTGGAGTGATAGAGCTCCATCCAGTACCTTTGGGATGAGTTGGAATGATCCAGAACTGACCATCCAACATCAGTACCTGACCTCACTAATGCTCAATCAAATCCTCACAGCAATGTTCCAACATCTAGCCTTCCCAGAAGAGTAGAGGCTGTTACTGCAGGCAAATGGGGCAAATTTCCTGTTAATAGCCTCGATTTGAGAAGAAAACCTGATGAGCAGCTAAACAAGAATCTTATTAAATTCTCACTCTGCACTCTCAGAAATTAAGGTACTGAACTGTCACTGGGTCAGTTCCCCTCTTGTCACTGTGGTGGGACCTTCAAGGGTCCATCTCAGTACCTTCAGTCAGGGAACATAACTGAACCATAATCCACTGAAATGATGTTTTCTAAGCTGTACTGACTCCACACACCCCGTCTCGTCTCCAGGCTTTTTGACGGACTATGTTATATGAACTGTGTTGCTCAGTGAAAAACTGTATGTAAATCTATGCATTAATAGGTTGGTGGAAAAAAAACTGATGGGATTATTCGGGGTGTCCATATGACTCTGTTTTAAAGGTGAGGCGTGCCACATTTGAGAGAAAGAAAAATGTAGGGGAGATAAACATTTCGAAACTGATGAAACGAGAAAAAACTCCTTAGGAGTAAGCGGGAGAAACCTCGAGAGGAAACCTGGCTCAAGGGAGGAACCCATCCTCCTCTGGTCGACCCCGGATGAAGAGAGAATGACAGAACTAATGAGATTTTATGATTTTATGACAAGATACAACAAAGAAGCTTAGAGCTAAAGAACCTTGAAGAACCATCTTTTTTGTAGTAGAGTGTAGAGGGAGGCATCCTCAGTACTGACTGGTCAGCTGTGGGTGACGTATGGGCTTCTTCTCAATATAAAAGTTGGTGTTTTCTGGTTTAAATGTGTGTTTAAAAGTGTAATGCGCACTCCGCGGCACAGACGAGCGCTTCTCAGTCTCGGCTGATGTGGCTACGTAAACAACAATAAGAACATCTGAACACCGCTTACTCATTTCTTCTTCTCTGTTTTTCAGATGAAGATCTGTCGGTCTGTTGGCAGCACGTCACGGCTGACCTGGTGTGTCAGAGGATGCTGCGGGGGGCCCGGGTGACATTTGTGGATTGCTGCTGTCTGTATGGAGAGGCCTGGGGGCTTCACTGCGCACTGTGCCCACGGAGAGACGAGGGTAAACCAACAGAGTCTGACTGCAGACAGATGCACTCTCAGCCCCAGTGCACATTCACTCTCTGCCACAACGGCAAAAGCAGCCTAATGGCTGTTAAATTTTGGCTGCTTCTGCTTAGCGACATCATCACTTAATCCATTTTTCGTCTAGAACACAGCTGGAGAATTACGTTTAATTTAACTCCCTGTTCAAAAAAGTCATAGAACCCATTAAAAGTGTCTGTTGGTTCCTGGTGGTGTCCAGTAGTCACTGATGGTATTCTGTGTTTTCCTGATTGGTTGATATTACAGTTTAAGGGATTCGAATTGTTCAATCAGGTGTTTTTGGGACTGATTCCAGATACATTCGTTCGTTATGGTCTCTAACGACAACCATCAAACCAACTCCCGTTAGGAAGCAAAACCAACAGGTTTTATTCCTAATGGCTCTAATTGTCTTCAGCGTGGCTTTCATGAGTTTCACTCGCCTGTTTGTTTTTTTCTAAACCTGACATTCACGTCTTATCATTGTGGTTTTACTGTGATAGTTTCCATATTTAATTACCTTATTATTAGTATGACAACATTAATATACGTTCAGTGTAGCTCTTGTAGCCCAGCAGTTCGTGTTTCACTGTTTTTCCTCATAAAACCGACAAAACTCTGTCGTGGCAGAGCAGCACTGACGTCATCAATAGGCTGGCAGTGCATGTCAGGCTGAGAGTGCATGTCTGCAGTCGGACACACCACCTCAGTGAATCTGCCTGTCTGTAGGGGTCGCACAGACGGTCGACTTTACTGCTCAGCGATGAGGCTTTAAGCTTGATGTCGACGAGTCGCTTATCACGTAATTACGACACTAAGAACAGGGACGCCTCAGAGAAGACAGCCAGTCGCACCAGCTGAACGTACGTTTGATTGTAGCCTAGTTCGAACGTAAACTGCCAACTTCGTTCAAGTTTACAAGCTACTAGAATTTAACCGGTTGCACAAAGTAATGTAGCTTCAATGTAGCTTTAGATTATAACTTAAAATTCACACATACCCTATAGTCGGTGTAGTTTCTGCCCTAAAAAATCAGTTTAAATGGCTGGACGATTTGATTGATGGGTAAACTTGATGGGCAAGAAACTGAAATACATCTCAGTTTGCATCGGCTAACAGTGACATTACCTTTCTGTGGTTCAGCGCATTCTAATAGCGTTTACATTAGCCACAGTTTCGCCAACGTTACCGACCGTTCGTTGTTAAAGTGCCGTTAAAATGTTGTGCATGAGAGCCCACCGGAAAATATCCAAGCAGCAGCAGAACAGAATAAACACACATACAAGAGACGGACGCTTTGAGGCACCACTGTACTGTAAAACACTCTCTTTTTGAAATATAACTAACACGACAGACACACCTTAAGCTCCACGTGTCAACCACAAGGCCCACGGGCCTGATCAGGCACAATCCTATCCGGCCCGCAAAAGTATTTAATGTTCTATTAATATTAGCCTGTTTCACAATGTGCTGCACTACAGTCTCCAGCATGCACTGCAATGTAATGTGCACCCGACTCTCCTACCCCAACAACAGTCCATGGCACAGCGGTTACACCAATTCTACCCAGTAGACCATTTTCACACTTCCGTGTTCGTTAATGCGGAGGAGTAAAGAGTAGCGTTAAACGGCCTCCAGTCGCGCTGTAAACAATGGCTGATACCAGAGAACTTGTAGAGAAGAGAATTATCACTCTGCAATGTCTTCCGGGTTTCTCAGATGCTAGAGGGCGCTCCCGAGTGAGTCCAAACTGAATGGGTTGTTATGGAGCAAAATCATAGTTTATAAATGCTGAAACATTTTTAATGTAAAATAATACATTAATTTCCTGAACACAGAGCAGCATAAAACATTTTAACACTGCTGTTATATTTTTAAGAGCTTTTAAACTCGAGTTATAGGAGTTTAAAACGGCGTCTCATGTATGTTCATGACGTCAGTGAGCGCGAACAGCCAATGAGCTGCTTCGCTCGCCAACCAATCAGCACTCAGTAGCAGTAATGTTTGCTGTAGAAAAAAGGAAACATACAGGTGAGTTTTCTTTGCTTTTTTAGTGAAATCCATCCTTCTGCTCTCTAAAATTAAAGGAAAGTTCTGGGTGAGAGATTAGAAACTATTTTAACTTTGTTTTTCAGGCGTTGAGCTCCATTCACCCCCATTCATTGAAGACTCGCTCACGGGCGCCCTCTGCTGTTTTGCAGTCCTGTTTTTGATATAACAGGGAAATAGGAAGTGGCCAGGCTCCTAATAACCGGCTCTGCTGATACTGCCTGAAATCATCGCTGCGTTTCTAATGCACCGATAATTCAACTGAACAGCCTCACCTGAGTTTTCACTCGATCAGGTTTAAAAATGTTCAACTTCAGCCGTAAAGCTCTGCTCGTCATGTGTCACATTTAACAAGGTAGCCAATCAAAAAAGAGAGCAAACTGAGCTGTAGAGTGAAAACGGGCTGTACAGGACAGATTTACTCACATCTGTGATTAAAATGCTCCAAGACAGACATTCATTCACTGCTGTGTTTAAAATCCTGGAGATGGTCGTCACAGAGGTTTGATTAAACCCCTGAGAAACTGACTCGTCTCCACTGCAGCTCGGTGATCAGTAACTGTACTGTAGAAATACGACGCTGTGTCTCTGAGCTGGTTATGGTGTTCAGGGCTCTCGCTAATGCTGCTAATGTTTACATGGGCTGAGTAGGAAAAACTAAACCTGCTGGACTTTTTCTCCAGAGTAAAGCGCAGTGAGTGCAGGTCTGTTTAAGGATGTGTGATGTTGGTGATGAACATAATAATCCGCTCCGCTCCGCTTCGCAAACCCGTCTCAGGCAGATTCCTCACAGTTCTGATGTGGATTTTTGTGGAATACATTCCGCCGTCTAAATGCAGCTGCTTTGACACGGAGCTGCGCTTTCAGTCGTGGGATGTGTGGCTCTGTTCTCTGCCGCAGTGCACTCTGTTTACCAGGCTGCTCCTGAGCGCCGCACAGTGGTAAAAACAGACGCGCAGATTCATACAGAGTCCAAATAGTTTTAAGTTCTGCGTGACGAGTTTTAGCCACGTCAGACTAGCCTTTCTGCTCATGTTGGAGGAGCTACCAGACATGCAAACTGCTCTTCTATTAACTGAGCTGAGGCCGAAGGACGATTTTTGAGGGATGCTGAAAACCGGAGACCCTCTACTGTCGCTCTGTTAAACGGTGCAGGCGGAAGTTCGATAACGCTACTGTTTACAGGTGGACGTGACGAAGCAGTGACTGTGAAAAAGGTCCATTCTACACAGTTCCACACCAGTCATATCACCAAACACACTAACTGCAGTTCAGGCAGTATAAACACTTAATGTGAGCTCAGGAGCTCAGAAATTGAGCCCAAGCATTAATGAACTTGCAGCAAAGAGACGATGCCAGATGTGTAGTTTAAGCAAATAGTTAAGGTTTAAAAGACCAAGCCCTAAATAATTGAAGCATTCATGCAATATTTCAAGGTCTATTATAAGCATCTATATTTTACTGCTGAAGTATTTGCGTATTTTGGATGAACAGTGGTCAGTTCGGTTTATAGCAAATTAAATTAATTAAAAATGAAATAAAGCATCTGCGTCTCTGGTCTAGATTTGTTGAGATTTTTTAATGTGGCCCTTCTAGTGGTTGAGTTTGACCCCCCTGCCTTAAGTAGAGAAAATGCAGCACGGAAAGAGAGAAACGTGAGCTATTTCACTGTGTGTGATGTTTCCTGTTTATGTCAGGGGGCGTTACTGATTGGCTGCAGAGTGAAAATGTCATTCTGTGCATCAGTGTTTTGATCTACGATCACTTTACGCTCCACTAGTTAAGACGTGACCGAAATTCTGTGTCCCTAGTTTTAAACTAACTACTCTAAACGTGAGATTTAGGACGGACTTTACACCCCAACTTATGATCGAACTTGCGTTCAGCTGGTGCGACTGGCTGCAGGTGAGGAGCCTGGTGATTTCGGGGTCCATATCTCTGGTTCCGTGGAGGCTAGTAATGCAATCCTGGGCTCGTGCTCATGCAACCCCTAGTCTATACACACTGGCCAGTGATGCAGAGAGGCGTACGCTGTCCATCAAAAGTCTGGGACACCTTGTTTCTTTTAATTTAAGTAAGAAAATTCCCTGAGACATTAGAGCTTATCTGGGACGAGAAAAAGGGAAAAAATAACTAACAGATTAGTCTGCAGAACAAAAACAGTGTTCTGGGAGGAGTGATCATTTCAGCATATACTTCAAATACACAGGTTTCTCAGCAGAGCAGCTACTGAGGTGCAGCAGTGTTTACAGTGAATAAGCTAATCAATCTGTATGATTTTTAAACCTCCAAAACGAGTCAGTCCAACTGTTCATACTTACATGAACACTCTTTCAATTATGGTTCTTCAAGGGTTCTTTAATAAAGGTACAAGTTCTATTAAGAACCATGAGTTCTATTCAGAAACATTTTTATGCGTTAAAGTTCTTTGTATGGTGAAATGGTTCTTCAGACTGATGGAGAATGTGTTGTATACGGTTCTATATAGCACTTCTGTTGTCACAAGCTTGACATAGTAAGAATAGCAGAACCCTTTTTGGTGCTATGTAGAACATATAGAACATACCAAAAGTTTTTTTCTGTATAGATCCATGCACAACACATTCTCCATCACTCTGAAGATGATTTCACCATGCAGAGAACCATTAAATCATGCAAATGGTTCTTTGAGTGTTCATAATTCAGTATAGAGCCACTGCTTTTTTACTAAAGAACCCTTATCTTTTTTAAGAGTGTAGAAGAAACTTTTTGGTGTTATATAGAACTATATACAAAAAGGTTCTATACAGAACCATATACAACACATTCTGCATCAGTCTGAAGAACCGTTTCACCATGCAAAGAACCATTTAATCATGCAAAGGGTTCTTTGAGTGTTCACAGTTTAATATAGAACTAAAGACTCCTTGTAAAATCTTTTTTGAGAGTGTAAAACCCTTTTTGGTGCTATATAGAACCATATACAACACGTTCTTCATCAATCTGAAGAACCATTTCACCATGCAGAGAACAATTTAAGCATGAAATTGTTCTATGTAGAAAAATTAGTGAGCTTTTACTTGTCACAGTGTCACTAATATCAGCACAAATAGTTTGTTTCTCTAAATAAACGTAAGGAGTGAATACGTGACGTTATTGGCAGCCGACAAAGAAAAAATGGACATTTATATTAAACGCATTTCAATAACCTAGGTGTCCCCAAACTTTTGACAGGACAGGATAGTCCCTCGTATTCACATAAGCAAACTCAGATTACCCACATAATCTGACACCAGCCGGAATCCGCTCAGGAGTTTAAAACCTTAGCCTCACTGCACTGCAAACACACAGGCATCTTATGTGGGCCACCTTAATTAGGTAATGAGGTAACATTGTGTTAATGATCTGCGTACAAACCATGTCCACTTTATCAGAAACCCCTCCCTTCCAGAACCATATTTCATTCCAACATTATGATATGGCATGTTGGAGGAATGTTTTTGGCACTGTTAGTTTCAGGTTGTTAGTTCTTCAGCTTTTATTTCTAGGTTTTTCTGCTAAGGACTCTTTGGCCCAGTCCCATTTCTCATTTTTACCCCTACCCCTTGTTTTCGAGTGTCTCCTTGCTCCTTGGAGCTGACTTACAGGGTAGTGGTTGAAATCTTCCCTCTGAAATGGGACCCTCAAATAAAAAGAGCATCACTTCATTAACAGCTACCAGCGCTGCTCTGTAGGCGACCCTGCCAGTCTGCAGTGACAGCAGAGGAGGGTAAAGTTCAGCTCCTCACTGCTGGGCTTTAGTTACATTTAGGGCATCATATGCCTTCAAAGAGGGGGGCAATTATTTATTATCACCACCCCTAATTCTTCAGTGATATGAAGCTGAAGTCAGATATCCACTTCTTGTACTGCAGTTCAGATGGCTGAGGCGCCAGAATGTAACTGCTGCGTCATTTAAGGTGGAACGGGAAATTTAGCTACTGAGACGTCAGCACTACTAGCGTTTTTTTATGCTTGTTATGAAGAAAAGGACCATAATACACTGAATCAACATTAAACTAAGATAAAACAATGGTTATCAGAATTTTTAACGTAGAAAATTTTCACATTTGTGTGTTTCTGTGGTCTCTTGTTCTCCATCTTGCTGGTTTTTCTTTTTTTCTCATAACTCTCTGTTTGGAGTCTCTGAAAAACCTCTGTTTAGAGGGTCATGTAGCCCCAACACTTCACCCTCCCCCTCTATCTCAACAAGAATCAGGACACCCTACTCCTAAAGCCCATTTCACACCAGACGCGGTAACTGCGCCGTGCAGTGGCGCACGCAATGCGCTCCTATATTAATCAGTGTAACCTTTCACACTGGCTGCTCGTATCACGCGGCACCGTGGCAGTAACACACGCATGAAGCGTTTTAACTCTTTGACAGCTTGACTGAAATCCCTTGAGCAGGTTAATGTTGTGAACACACAGGCGTCTCCTCCTCTTCATATAGAGCTACATAGAGAAAGCCACCCAAAAAATATCTGGACAACAGTGGCCCTGTGGTCAGAAACTGACTAATGATAAATGGAGTAGAGGAGGCTGGCAAACTGTGCAGCAGCAAATGAACCACAGCCTGTAACTACACCTACATAGTGGGCCTATAAGGTGGGTGTTTCTAATAAAGTGGCCAGTTAGAGGACACACAAGGTGGGTGTTTCTAATAAAGTGGCCAGTTAGAGAAAGAACAAGGTGGGCGTTTCCAATAAAGTGGCCAGTGAGTGGAAGCACAAGGTAGTCTCCTCCTCTTCATATAGAGCTACATCACCTGGTGAGAAAGCCAGCAACGGTCAAGGCAGCTAGTCAAGATTTTATTGTTGATCTCTTTATGTCATCTACATAGAGTTTTTATGCGTAATAAACGGACAGTACCGACGTTTATATTCCATGAAAACGCAACACAAACAGCTACCGCTCTTGATTCACAATGCGTGGGTGAGGCGCCTGGTGTGAGATACCAAGCGCCGTGGAGTGGTTCCAGATTAACATGCACGACGTGTCACATCTGGTGTGAAATGGGCTTAAGCATGAATGCGCAAAACAGAGGGGTAAGGGCTAAGTGGTAGGGGCGAGGGGTGAAATGGGATTGGGCCTTATTGTGAAGGGAAGGGGGAGGGGTATGTGTGCCGTAAAACCTGGCAGGCAGACGTGCTGATTCCTGTGAGAGTTAGACGTAAGCTGAGGTTTAGAGAAAACTCTGCTTTGGTACAGTGTAGCTGTGGCCAACAACAGCTGGATAATAAAGCACCACGACTTTAACGGGGGTGAACAATATTGACGACTGACAATAAAGACCACTTAACTTGTAGCTCCACATTGCTAACGTACGTTTAAAGACTGTAGCTCATCTGTTGAGGTTTGTGTTAGCCATCCTCTAGTCCAGGGATGCACAACTCCGGTTCTAGAGGGCCGGTGTCCAGCACAGTTTGGTGATTTACCTACTAAGACACACCTCATTGCATTTATCTGTTAATTGGCAGGTTTAGTGGGTGTGTGTGAGTAGGGAAACCTCCAAACTGTGCTGGACATCGGCCCTCCAGGACCAGAGTTGTGCACCCCTGGACTAGTCCTTCATGAATGGTGATTTGGTTTCTGACCACAGAGACGCTCTTGGCTGGATGCTTTTGGGTGGTGGTCCGCTCTCAACCTAGCAGTGTTAATGACGTGTGTAAGAACCCTCAGCAACACTGCTGTGTCTGATACACAGCACTACACACAGTACCATGTCAGTGTCATTGCTGTGCTGAGGATGGACCACCACGCAAAAATATCTGGACAACAGTGGCCCTGTGGTCAGAAACTGACCAATGATAATTGGAGTAGAGGAGGCTGATGAACTGTGCAGCAGCAGATGGACTACAGTCTGTAACTGTACACCTACATAGTGGACCTGTAAGGTGGGTGTTTCTAATAAAGTGGCCAGTTAGAGGAAGCACAAGGTGGGTGTTTCTAATAAAGTGGCCAGTTAGTGGAAGCACAAGGTAGGTGTTTGTACAGTTTGTGTTAATGCTACTGAACTCTCCTTCCTGCTCTGTTCAGAGGCATATGAGGATCTGTGTAGTTCACTGGGTCCTCCTCCCAACTCCCCACGCTACGCTGAACGCTTTGCTATGGTGCCCGGGAGAGGAGGGGGCTACAGCCCACCATATGGCGGCTCTGTGTACTCTGAAACCGTTCCGGGCCGATCTGACTACACCCAGACTGATTACGATGACTACAGTCCAATGGGAGGGACCGGCCAGAGGTCCGGACTGAGAGGACGAACGCCCGGCTTGTACCCACCTTACACACCACCTGGACTGGGGTACGAATCTAGAAATTCTGTAATATCCAGTCATAACTGCTAAAACTTTTAAGGGTCTGAATATGGATCCACAGTTCAGTTCCTCACTCACATAAATGCATAAATTACACATTTAGTTACCCAGTAATTCATGAATAACATGTCTAAGAGTAAAAGTCGAGCATTAGGCCTGATTGGGAGGATGGAAATTCCAAAATAGCCGTCCACACATCAGTATATCGTTCTAGTTTCCATCCTGGTGCTCTTCTAAATCAGTGTAATGGATCTTTAGCTTCTCATTGTGTCACAATTTTCCACGTTACTGTTCAAATGCAATCGAACGTGTGTGCACTGCATTTCACTGGTTTGGTTGCATTTCAGTGAGGCAAATACACACAAAAAGGAGTCTAGTGAAGTGAAAACAGTGTAACAGACGTTTTGCTTTTCATTCTGGCATGTATTCTGCACGTCACCTGTGGAAAAGTGATGCCATATGTGCATTGCATTCCACGTTTTTCTACTGTAGTGGCTACTTTTCAATTTTACAAGTGTTCGCAAAGCCAGAGGAGAAGTTTTAACAGCTTGAGCTCAAATAAACAAACATATCTCATCAATTTCACTGCTTCATTGTTAGATTACACGACACATAATATCCGTCTACACCAGGAGTCGCAACCCAAATGTTAAAAAGAGCCATTTTGTCCTTTCAACAAAAATCAAACCACTTTGGGAGCCGCAACACTTTATGTCCATTTTACCATCTTGGCTGTAAATATGTCTCAGTGTGTGTAAATGTCCTAGTATAAAGTAAAATATATATAATATAAATGAAAACACAGACTTACTTTTCTCTGCTTTAAGCTTTAGCTCAGCTGTAGCTGCTTTTCTCACATCTCCAGCAGGAAACTTTTCCTCAAAAGTAGAACAGTCTCTTGTAAACGTCTCTCAACGTTTGATTTTTTTTATGAAGCTTCTCATTCACCAGCTTCTTGTTCGAATTTTCCCTGTTCCACCTTAAATGGTGCCTGAGGTGCCAGAATGTAACCGCTGCACCATTTAAGGTGGAACAGGAAAATTTGAACAAGAAGGTGGTGAATGAGAAGCGACTTCAGCCTCATGACTTTTTAGTGTTTGTCAGTTTCTCGCTGCAGATTAAACGTATCAGGAAACCAGCTGGAGGGATTATAAACACAAATAACTTATTCGTCTCTAAATTATCGATGTTCATCTTAAATCTCTCTCTTTGCCATTTCTTTAGCTACTAACTCGGTGAGATTGTTGTCTGTGTTGCTATGGTGACCAGCAGTCTGCGCTGATCTTCAGGGTTAAAGGGTGAATTCTACAGCATTTAAGATCATTTATAGTTAAACTGTGTTGAACGATCAGCAGAGCTTTATTTTACTGTAAAGGAGGATTATTTTATTTTTACCTACTAATCTGATTCTGCTGTGGAGCCACAACAGGGCAGTAAAAGAGCCGCATGCAGCCCCAGAGCCCCATGTAGCCGACCCCTGCGCTGTACCAACTTTTAGTTTATCAAACAGTGAAAATCACTTTTATCAGCTGCTACAAAAATATACTCAAGTAACATTAGCCGCCCCCCCACCACCCCCCGTTAGATCATTCCCATTATAATAATATCCCTCTAACTTTTACTTAGTACTTATCAAATATTGAGACTCTTCTCAAACAGTATGACTAACTGTTTTTTATTCTGTAGTGCTGTAGGTGCTGTTAGTGCTGTAGGTGCTGTTAGTGCTGTAGTGCTGTAGGTGCTGTAGGTGCTGTAGGAGCTGTAGGAGCTGTAGTGCTGTAGTGCTGTAGGTGCTGTAGGAGCTGTAGGAGCTGTAGGAGCTGTAGGTGCTGTAGGTGCTGTAGGAGCTGTAGGTGCTGTAGGTGCTGTAGTGCTGTAGGTGCTGTAGTGCTGTAGTGCTGTAGGTGCTGTGGTGCTGTAGTGCTGTAGGTGATGTAGTGCTGTAGGTGCTGTAGTGCTGTAGGTGCTGTAGTGCTGTAGGTGCTGTAGGTGCTGTAGTGCTGTAGGTGCTGTAGGAGCTGTGGTGCTGTAGTGCTGTAGGAGCTGTGGTGCTGTAGTGCTGTAGGTGATGTAGTGCTGTAGTGCTGTAGGTGCTGTAGTGCTGTAGGTGCTGTAGTGCTGTAGGTGCTGTAGTGCTGTAGTGCTGTAGGTGCTGTAGGTGCTGTAGTGCTGTAGGAGCTGTGGTGCTGTAGTGCTGTAGGTGCTGTAGGTGCTGTAGTGCTGTAGTGCTGTAGGTGCTGTAGTGCTGTAGTGCTGTAGTGCTGTAGGTGCTGTAGTGCTGTAGGTGCTGTAGGTGCTGTAGTGCTGTAGGTGCTGTAGTGCTGTAGGTGCTGTAGGTGCTGTAGGTGCTGTGGGTGCTGTAGGTGCTGTGGGTGCTGTAGGTGCTGTAGTGCTGTAGGTGCTGTAGGTGCTGTAAGTGCTGTAGGTGCTGTAGGTGCTGTAGTGCTGTAGGTGCTATAGGTGCTGTGGGTGCTGTAGGTGCTATAGGTGCTGTAAGTGCTGTAGTGCTGTAGGTGCTGTAAGTGCTGTAGTGCTGTAGGTGCTATAGTGCTGTAGGTGCTATAGTGCTGTAGGTGCTATAGGTGCTGTAAGTGCTGTAGGTGCTGTAGGTGCTGTAAGTGCTGTAGTGCTGTAGGTGCTGTAGGTGCTATAGTGCTGTAGGTGCTGTAGGTGCTGTAGGTGCTGTAGTGCTGTGGGTGCTGTAACGATGTGAGTTTCTTTCCAGTCCTGTTCGTTATTATGGGGAGGACGACTATGATGCAGCGCCGGTTCCTCAGTATGGGGTCCCAGACCCTCGAAGCGAGCGAGCGTTTGGTACTCGGCCCCGCCCCCCTCTCCCCGAGGGACGCCCTCTGAGCCTGGCCCCCCTACCTGAGAACACAGAGGGGGAGGGGCCATGGAGAGCCCCATTCCCGCCTTTCACGGACACACGAGCAGGAGGAGAGAGGCCACACAGAGTCTACGAAAGTACGTACAACCAGCAAACATGCAGACTTTTATTTTACTTCTTTATTTTTAGCAAATATTAAGAATTCACTCAAACTCAAAGTTATATTAATATTTTCAATTAATTCAGTTTTTAATAATAGATATAATTATTTTAGCATATTACATTCAGAGACCACAAATTCAAAATTTAGATTATTTTACTTTTATTAAGTGTGATGATGGTGAAATAAAGTTTATTTTTTATTTTTGGGCATTTATTAAGTTCCGCAGGAATTATATTTATTTCTTTTTTAATTGATTAAGTGATGAAGAGGTTGAGAGCAGGTGTTTCAGTGTGTGTGTGTGTGTGTGTGTGTGTGTGTGTGTGTGTGTGTTTCAGGGCAGTATGAGCCGTTCGGAGGGCTGATGGAGGATGAGTGTGGGATACTGCAGGGCTGTGAGAACGGCCGCTGCGTCCGTGTCGGGGAGGGTTACACCTGTGACTGTTATGATGGGTATCAGCTGGACATCAGCTCCATGTCCTGTCTAGGTACAACTGTCCATATTCCGTATAAAATCTCATCACAGCATTTTTCCATGTCATACAATTTCACTGTAATATAATTATTAAATGTTGCTCATATAGTCAGTAGTAGTATTTAATAGTAATAATAGTTATTTTGAACCCCGAAGGAAATAAATGACACAAAATATTTATCATCAAGGTTATGATACACAATCTCCTCTTGTTCTGAATCCTTTTCTTCAAACTCAGTTTTTACTGTCTGTAATTTCAACTGAACTGAAACTAAACTGCTAACTGGTAACACTCGCTAACTCTGCTAACTGGAAATAGCTAACACTGAACATAGTGAACACTCGCTAACTCTGCTAACTGGAAATAGCTAACACTGAACATAGCTAACACTCGCTAACTCTGCTAACTGAAAATAGCTAACACTGAACATAGCTAACACTCGCTAACTCTGCTAACTGGAAATAGCTAACACTGAACATAGCTAACACTCGCTAACTCTGCTAACTGAAAATAGCTAACACTGAACATAGCTAACACTCACTAACTCTGCTAACTGGAAAAAGCAACACTACCTAACTCTGTTTACTGGAAATAGCTAACACTGAACATAGCTAACACTGAACATAGCTAACACTGAACATAGCTAACACTGAAAATAGCTAACACTGAAAATAGCTAACACTTGCTAACTCTGCTAACTGAATATAGCTAACACTGAATATAGCTAACACTGAAAATAGCTAACACTGAAAATAGCTAACACTTGCTAACTCTGCTAACTGAAAATAGCTAACACTGAAAATAGCTAACACTTGCTAACTCTGCTAACTGAATATAGCTAACACTGAAAATAGCTAACACTGAAAATAGCTAACACTCGCTAACTCTGCTAACTGAAAATAGCTAACACTGAACATAGCTAACACTCGCTAACTCTGCTAACTGGAAATAGCTAACACTGAACATAGCTAACACTGACAATAGCTAACACTGACAATAGCTAACTCTCGCTAACTCTGCTAACTGAACATAGCTAACACTGAAAATAGCTAACACTCGCTAACTCTGCTAACTGAAAATAGCTAACACTGAACATAGCTAACACTCGCTAACTCTGCTAACTGGAAATAGCTAACACTGAACATAGCTAACACTCGCTAACTCTGCTAACTGGAAATAGCGAACACTGAACATAGCGAACACTGAACATAGCGAACACTGAACATAGCGAACACTGAACATAGCGAACACTGAACATAGCGAACACTGAACATAGCTAACACTGACAATAGCTAACACTCGCTAACTGCTAACTGAAAATAGCTAACACTGAACATAGCTAACACTCACTAACTCTGCTAACTGGAAATAGCAACACTACCTAACTCTGCTAACTGGAAATAGCTAACACTGAACATAGCTAACACTGAAAATAGCTAACACTCGCTAACTCTGCTAACTGAAAACAGCTAACACTGGCTCTGCTAATATAGTTGATTCTGTTAACTGAAAACAGCTAATGCTAGCTAACTCTGCTAAGTGAAAATAGCCAATGCTAGCTAACTCTGCTAAGTGAAAATAGCTAATGTTAGCCAACTCTGCTAACTGTCCCGCTGGTTGGTGCAGTTGTGAGTGAATGGCTAGACTTCTTACATCTAGAGAGCAAAAGACACAGAGCGCCACCTAGTGTAGCTGTTCAGAGTTAACCTTTGATGCTAATACTGGATTGAGGATCAGAACAGAATGATTATTATATCTCAGATACTTCAAACAAAATAAAGTTAGTTTTGGATGATTATCATTATTATCATTATTATTATCTCTTATTGATACAACATACAGATTTTTAAAGCGTAAGGTGCTGAAAATGAAAATGTGTGTTTTTCTGTAGATGTGGATGAGTGTGAGGACCCGACCACTCCGGAGTGCGTAAACGGTCAGTGTGTAAATACAGAGGGTTCGTACAGTTGTGTGTGTCTCAGAGGATTCATCATGTCACGCAGACCAAACCACTGCATTCCAGCTTAAACGGCAACATGCGGAGCAGAACTGAACCGAACCTCGGCCGCGCACTGTCTCTCTGGTCTTATACATTAAAGGGCTCATATCGTGGAAAATGGAATTTTTCACACTTTTTTAAATGAAAGAGTTTGATGTATGTAAACATTGTTAAAGTTTACTTTCGTTGTAACAGCCAGTTTTGAATTCACTGTTTAATGACGTCATAAAAACCAACACATTTGCCTTTTCAGCCAGCAGCAGTTAGCCCCGCCCACTCACGCTGAAGTTATAAGGAGTGTTTCCAGCCTGGGCTACTTTTTTAATGGGGCAGCCAATCAGAACAGAGCTCATTTACATATATCAGTCTTAAAAACGCAGTAACAAATCCAGCCTGTTTAATTGTAAGTGATAATTATGACTGTTTTGGTACACAAAACCACACAAATATCAAAATAAAAAATACTAAGATAGGAAAAGTGAGGGATTTGAGCTCTTTAAACAAATGTTCATGTTTAAAGGGCTCATCTGCCCCATTAAACCCTTCAAAAATATACATGTACTACATTTTGTATCAATAATCTGTACACAGACGCTGTTACAAACCCATATTTAGGTTTAGTTTATTTGAAACCAGTTATATATGAGTATTAGAATGAGTTTTACTGATTTATTGTTTATATTTGTGACTGAGTGGGTAGTTTTGCTGATTTCTCTCTCTTCCACAGTTCATTAAGACATGTAACACAATGCACTGTATTTGTGGAAGAAAACGTTTTGAATTTTACACGATGATTAATTGTACATGTTTAAAACTGTTCGTTATTTTGTCTATGAATTGTTTGATATGCCTAATGCTAATGTAACTATATTTGAAACTATATTTGCACACATTCCAGTTGTGTTGTATTTTTACTGAGCACACGTTATCATGTTTATCCTGCAATTTCTTTTTTTACTTAATAAAACTTTTTATCTATTTAAACTATACATTGTTTTTTCTCTTTAATCTATTAAAGCTTTTTCATACTATGATTTCAGGGCTGTCCAAAGTCTGGCCTCAGGGCCAAATGAGGCCCACGGACAGATTTCAGTCGTCCAGTTGCTTCTGTTTGGAGAGGGATTTGCACCTCTTTACTGAAAAAAGAGCGCATGGAGATTTAAATAAAAAAATAAATGCTGAATCTGTGTCAGAATTCAATACAGTCCGCTTTAGGATGTAATAAAGGCATAACTATTCTGCTTTCCACTGTTTAAGGGTCATTCTACAGAAATGTCCATTATTGTGTTCCTAGCGTTTACAGATGTATTACACTTCAAAAACATGTTAGGGTTAGAATTTATTTATATTTTAAAATAAAACAATGTTATTTTAACAATTACACCTTCTTGAGCCTCAATTTAACAGTATTGGTTTTTAAATCAATCATACAGAAGAGCTCGTCCTCACAGTCATGTGTGAAGGCTGAGGCCTTATTTTGAGATAAAAACATATTTTTCTGCAATTGTAACTGCAATAATCTATACATGACTATGAAATATACAAATTAAATGACATTAAGAAAATAAATGGCAAATAAATATTATAAAATATATAATGAAAGTTGTCCCCAGGAGTCGTGTCACTGGTGTTACTGCGTAACAAAAAATCTCTTATTTTGAAATAAAAGTCACACTGATGACATCACTTGGCTTCCTTTACCTGTTTTCTGAGGATCTATGAAGAAAAGCTCATGGTGAGTCCACTGTGTCTTTCAGTTATCAGAGATTTTCTCATTCAGCTCATGATTTCATATGAAGCTTTTAGCTGAACTCACTGGTGTGACCGACTTTATTCTGAGGTAACTGTGAAAAAATAGAACACAAATGGATTAAATTACATATTTCAGTGGATATTCCATGATTGACAGCATGGTTTGATGCTCTGTAGCAGCCGTTTTGTTAAAGGCTTTTTACATTAAAATGTCTCTGGTGTTTCCTTTATTATGTGGAACACCAATGAGGATCAGTGACTCCTATGGAGAGATAGAAAAGTGTTTATGGGTCATTCTGTAGAGTTCAGTGTTAAATCAGTGTAATGGATCTTTAACTTTCCATTATGTCATGTTACTGTTTGAATGCAATCTCATGTGTTCAATGCATCTCACTGTTTTGGCTGATTTTCAATGAGGCAAATACATTTGAAGTGCAAAAAAGAGGTGAAAACAGTGTAGTGGGGGTTTTGCTTTTCATTTTGATGCATATTTCACACGTCACCTGTGAAAAGGTGACATCACATGTGCATTTCACTGTTTATACTGTTATGTATAACAGTGCAGCTGTGCCTTCTTTACACTTCAAGGCGGATTGTATTCAATTCAGATTTTCTCCCCCAATTTAGATGTGTCCAATTCCACCCACTAGTAAGGATTCCCCTAATTACACAGCAGAACAAATAAACAATAAACATTTATTTATATAGCTCTTTTCTAAGTCAGGCTACAAAGTGCTTCACAACAGTAAGATAAAGTAAATAAAATAATAAAACAATATAAAACAAATAACATAAAACCAAAAACAGTACAGCTTCATCCACAAACAGCACAGAGAACATCAGCTGTGTCCAATCTCAAAGGCTCAGGCATACAGATGTGTCTTAAGCCTTTTTTAAACATCTCCTTAGACTCAGTAATTCTAGTGTCTAAAGGCAGAGAATTCCAGAGCCTTGGAGTGCATCACTGCTGTCCGAGCAAAACCTCGTATCTCCAAAATGGCAACTTTACAGGAGAAGGAAAAAACATACTTTACTTTTAATGTAATGGAACCAGACTTTTTTCCAAGTGATTCTGGGCCGTTTCTTTTGGTCCATTCTTCATGAACTTTACACACAATGTAAAGGGTACCAGGTATTTTCAAATTGCGTCAAAAACTGAAACACGTCAAAAATGGAGATACAAGGTTTTGTTCCGACAGCAGGGATATACTGAAAAAGCACAGTCTTCTGTTTTCACTTTGCTCTAGGGACACTAAAAGCCCTTGACCAGAGGACCTCAGTGTCCTAGCGCTGGAATATGGCACTAATATCTCAGAGATATATCTCGGCCCATCACCATGCACCGCCTGACAGGTTATAACCAAAATTTTAAAATGTACCCTAAAAGTAACAGGCAGCCAATGCAAAGACGCCAGTATGGGTGTAATAAGCTCCCTTCTTTTAGTCAAGTTAAGTCAGCTTTATTGTCAATACTACAACATGTACAGGACCTACAGAGTATTGACACTGCGTTACTCTCAGACCCCATGGTGTAGCAACAACATTAAATAGACAGTAAATAGGAAATGTGTGACTTTAAATAGACATTTAAAACAAAATTGTAGAAAAATAGAATAATAAAAAAATAATAAAAATATATAAATATAGAAGGTCCTGAAATTAACACTGAAGTGACATAAGGCACATACAGATTAAGGTCTGTGGGTATAAATAGTGCAAATATAAACAGTAGTGCAATTAGACTGAGCTTATGGAGCTGTTAAAGTGATGAGTGCATAACAGAAAGTGGTGGGTGCGTAACAGTCCCTGAGAATGTCAGAGTTCAGTATAGGGGAGTGGGGGTCAGGAACCTGTGTTTGACCAATACTGTCAGCTTAATTTTTAAAAAAATAATTAAAAATTAATTAATAAATTTAGTCCTCATACCCGAGCTGCTGCATTTTGGACGGGTTGCAGCTGTCATAGCTCCTTGACTAAGACCTGTGAATAAGGCATTACTGTAATCAAGGCGTGACGATATTTTAGCAGTAGAACACAGAGAGAGTGTGTTGTTGCGAAATATCATCACAGCTGTGATTTGGTCGCCGTAGATCATCACAGCCGTGATGTTATTGGCGATAACACACTCCTCGAGTGTTCTACTGCTTTAATACAACAGTTAAATAAATACAGTAATAAATTAATAAACTGGGCCGTGAACGCGGCGTTTAATACGTTTTAATGTTCGCAGTTCCTTCACCAAATTATAGTTCCTTAACGAGCAGCTTGTTGCTACGTCAGAGTAACGAGCTCCGCCCCCTCGCTGCACAGCCGGCAGTTCGTTCTCCAGCTCCACACAGACCAACTGACCGTTTGGGAATTTAGTGTGGTCTCATCTTCAGAGTCTGACCAAATCGGCTGTCAGTCAAATGTGATCTTAAAAGTGTCCATTTTCTGTTTGTGGCAAAGTAAGAAGTAAAAACGTTCAAATGTCTTGAGCGTCTCCTACAGCTGTCACAGTCGCTGCTTAGCAACAGCGTCTCAGCGGAGTGATACAGTGTTTGTGAAAAACCTGTGATGTTACGGTGAAATAACAGCACAGTTAGAACGCCTCTCAACCAATCAGCTCGCGTGGACATCAAACGAGCCTCATATTCAGAAGACTGTAATGAATTTAATACCAACAGACATAAAACAGCAGAACAGTAAATATTCAGGACAGAAACTAAAGCAGCTGCAGCTCCGCGAGTCTCACAGCACCGACTTCATATCACAGCAAGTTAGCAGAGTTAGCCAGTGTTAGCTATTTTCAGTTAGCACGGGGAGCTAGTGTTAGCTCAGTTAGCAGAGTTAGCTAGTGTTAGCTCAGTTAGCAGAGTTAGTGTTAGCTATTTTCAGTTAGCAGAGTTAGCTAGTGTTAGCTCAGTTAGCAGAGTTAGTGTTAGCTATTTTCAGTTAGCAGAGTTGGCTTGTGTTAGCTCAGTTAGCAGAGTTGGCTAGTGTTAGCTCAGTTAGCAGAGTTAGTGTTAGCTATTTTCAGTTAGCAGAGTTGGCTTGTGTTAGCTCAGTTAGCAGAGTTGGCTAGTGTTAGCTCAGTTAGCAGAGTTAGTGTTAGCTATTTTCAGTTAGCAGAGTTGGCTAGTGTTAGCTCAGTTAGCAGAGTTAGTGTTAGCTATTTTCAGTTAGCACGGGTAGCTAGTGTTAGCTATTTTCAGTTAGCAGAGTTGGCTAGTGTTAGCTCAGTTAGCAGAGTTGGCTAGTGTTAGCTCAGTTAGCAGAGTTAGTGTTAGCTATTTTCAGTTAGCACGGGTAGCTAGTGTTAACTATTTTCAGTTAGCAGAGTTAGCTAGTGTTAGCTCAGTTAGCAGAGTTGGCTAGTGTTAGCTCAGTTAGCAGAGTTAGTGTTAGCTATTTTCAGTTAGCAGAGTTAAAATGTATAAATGTATAGATTTTTGTTTAGTTTGTTTGGCAAATTGTTTTTGAAAAAGTAAACACTTAAATAAGAATATAATTAATACATTAGACAGTTTTATTGTTGCTCTTAAACAGTTTTATTAGTTGTTATAAGTGCTTAGTGAGCATAACAACAATTGAAGAGACCTCAAGCTTCTTTTATACAGTGATAGAAACATGGTAGCTCACAGAAAGCTCTGATTCTGTGCGCTGATATTTTGAAAACTTCATATTTTAATCATATGTGAATAATATTTTGGCCCTCAGGCACAGTCTGGCCCTCTTTGGAACACGTTTGGACACCCCTGACCTATTTAAACAAATTAAACAATTATTTGTTTTGTTCTTGCAAAAACAACCCGTTTACAGTCCGCGATCACGCCGCTGAACCTGTTCCTGTGTTTCGTTTGAGTTCCAGTAGCTGAAGGGTGATCGAGTTGATTGGTTTTCTGGCTGCCGCTGAAACAGGCTCTGCTGCCCCTCACGTGCTTTGTGTAAGAAGCTCCTAACCTGCTTATCAGGCTCCCTAACCCTAATGCTCTGTGTGTTTATGTGAATACAGCCCCTAAGCCTTTTTATAGGCCAATCCAACCACATCACGCACACACAAGCTCATTAAAGAGGTTCACTTTACTCAGAATTTACCCCGGCGGATTGCAGGAGGCAGCGGAATATCAGCTTTCACCGCAGAGCGCTTAGCTCAGCACCCAACACCAACGCAAAACCTGCAGCGAGTCTGTTTGAGTCACCGGAAAAAGTACAAATCCTCAGTCTACGGCACAGTGAC